AAAAAAAAAACAATTAGAGAATTATAAGGCGAGTGTGAGCCAAAAGAAAAATATCATTCCACGTGAATGGTCATGTCAGGCTCCTTCATTATTCAAGTTGTGATTACCATCCAATTGAATAATCAGCCCCAAATAATTATTAGCTTACTATGTGTTTAGTTTGATATTTTACTTAACAATGAAATAAATTTATATTTTTCAACTTATGTCAGAACCTAGAATGATCACTCACACGGGCAGTTTTGTCTTATCTCGTTGAAGAGACTCAATGAGAGATTCCCACTAAACATAATTTAAAAACAAAACACGAAAAATTTCATAAGAAAAAAATGATTCATATTAAATTCTTACTAAACATAGAAAACGTATAAACCACTTTAGTCATTAGTTGATTAACTTGAGATATTATTATTAGATTCATATATACTGTTTCAATCTTGTAATCGTTCCATAAAACCTATTAAAATATCATATCTAATTGAAAATCATTTGATCTAAAAGCTGCAGTATTATTTTGATTTGTACTTACGACAATTGATTGTCATTAATTATGTTGTATTATGTATCATCATCAAATTTATCAGCTACCATTCCCAACATCCACTATCATTCATTTTTCACCTGTTTGATCTTTTAAAGTTTTGAACCCCATTGATCAATTACGCCTCTAGTATCATTTTAAATGATGTTTTAGAAAACAATTTTCTTGTTTTAAATTTAGTGATGTCTTCATTGTTCAATGTAAAATTTAACTTTTTGTTTGTTTGTTGTGATCATTTGTATTTTATAGGTCTTTGTTACTGGTTAAATACTTTATATTTAGAACATACATGATGTTCTAATATAGGACAAGAAAAACCACATAAACTATGTTATTTCTTGTTTATTAAAAAAGGAGATAGTATAAAATTGTCATAAATTTTTGGAGCAATGATTGCCGTCCAAAAATGTAAAAAGTTCGAAACAATCATTGTAAGAAAAAGCAGATATTTCTGAAAAAATACAAAAAAAATAAACGCAAATTAACAAAGATATTTTACCTAATACATGAACAATTTTACGAGAGGTAAGGCAAATCAACATCATGTTAGAATAATTTGCTTAATAAATGAACCATTTTATAAAGTAATTGAATAGTCTTGTCCATCAAAAGATCTACTACAACTATAAAAATATTTGACACTAAAGAACATACAAATATCACTTTGTATAATACAATACTAAAACATATGTATCATTGGATCTTCCTTCATTGAAGCTGTGATGCTCACTTTGGGAGAAGATTTGGAAGCTTCCATAAATGCTAGAAAGGGCGCCAGAACTCGAGTCAGTCATTAACCGACGTTAGACTTGAAAAAGCGGACGTTAAGTGTAACGCTCCGACCATCCCTATCAGTGAGCACCTATGTCTTCTCTCGGGTCCGTCTGCTCCACGCTTGTCCGACGGTCGGTCCGCTATGTCTAAGAGGCTTTAAAAACTTGTTTACCGATCCTACAAATCACCACATGATCTTTCTCTGTGTTTTGTCCTCACTCACACAGTTCCGACAATTACTTTCCGGAAAGTCACCCATCCTCAAACTTTCCAGCTCAAGCACGCTTAACCCTGAAGTTCTATCAGGACAGTTGACCGAAAAGATAAGTGTACTTTGGTGACATAGGTGGTCAAATCAATTCTTTTAAACCTATCTGCATGCACTATCATATTCTTGAAATCGGAGTATTACATTAAATTCCTCTTGTAGTGATCTTTAGCTAAATGCGTAAATAAAAAAATTACCATCAGTTATAATTTATCTGCGGGGACAAACAAATACTTGGCTAAACAGTAAGCATATGTATAATGTACGTAGGAAACAAAATTATAGAATGGTAGGACCAAAACACGTGATTCTTGTTTACATTAGTGTAACGCCAAAAGTCATAAAAGTAGAAGGTTTAACTTTTCAGGTTTGGTGAGAATGAGATATCATATTCGAAGAACTTCTACAAAAAAACCTTCCATATGACTATTACCAGTTTATCTTCAACTTTGAAAAAATATAGGTCAAACCTACAGAAACAAATTTAACATGCATTCTAATGCTTATATATTTTTGAAAAGGTCTTACAATCATATACACTAGAGCTTTTATATCCTAAGAATAGATTTAGACTTCTTGTCACATAGTCTTCGTTGATGTAAAATTTATCATAACCTAACCAGCTTGATAGCAATAACCTCATGCTATATTGCGAGTTAAATTTGAATTCGTGAATTGACCTATATTTTTATAAGTTAAGGGTAAAACTTACAAAAAGTTATAGTCATATGAAATATTTTTTTTGTAGAAAACCCAAAAAATACAACTGTTGAGAATTTATTCATTTGGTACGGTTGATTGATTGATTGTTAGTGGTAGGGACATAAATGTTGCGTGATTTCATCATATTATGGTGGATTGGTTGGCTAGTTTTTTTAATTTTTCTTGTTCACAGCTTGCTTTAGATTAAATAAACTGAAGATATACGAAAGCAAAATTGAGCAAAAATCTCTTTACCAAGGAGTTCGCTTCTAGATCATTGGAAAGAAATAGAAGATAAGATATGATAGTTTCCCCAAAGACAACGTGAAGTTTTTTTTTGGAAGGTTTCGAAAATGATCGAGCTAAAAAACTTTGTAAAGTTGATTGTATAGAGTCATTTGATAGTTTGATAGTATTTGTAATAAGATAAATGTGAAAAATAATCTTTCTTGCATCATTGGATGAACCGTACCTCGTATGATTGGTTTGATGTTAGACCCAAATCTTCTATGTGTATGAGAGTCTCTGTAACATAACAATTCAATACAATAACATAATTTCCTCCATTTCATCTTATTCTTTGTTTTTATATGACGCAGCGGTTAAATATTCAACTAATATCCATGAAAGTTTTTCAATCCTCGACATTTATTTTTAATGTTAAAACGTTCGGGTAAACCAAAAAAGTTGGGAAGCCGGATTTTTTTTTATGAATATAATTTTACATTTAAAATAAATAAATTTGGACCCCATTGATCAATTATCAAACTGTCACAAGTTTTGTCCACAACTGGAGCAATAAGTGCCGTCCAATGAAAAATAAAGAGTGTGGAGCAATAAGTGTCGCCATAATAGTTTGGAAGAAAAAAGCAAGTGTAAGTTTAACTGAGACCAAAAAAAAAAAAAGATTAATTGAGACAAACATATACCCAATAAAGACAATAACCAGAGAAAAATCAATCATACTAGTTTGTACTATACCAGTTCACAGTGAATCTAGACTCAATAAATGACAGATACATTTAATAAAAACTATACTAGTACTCTATTTATAGTTTACTTGCGGCCGAAGAATTATATATGGACCCGTTATTTCATGTTTAATAATGTGAAATCTCATGCATACAAAAAAAAAAAGGCTCTACAAAAATATATTAGGTTGTTTTATTAAATTACTGAAAAATACTTTATTGAAATAATCAATCCACACTACTGTTTACCAAAAAGAATTACCGATCACAAAGAATCGAAAGAGTTCCACGCACACCGATAAAGATTATGGTAGTGAATCAAATAACCAACTAAAACGATTGTGAAAGGAGTATTTTTTTATTAAAATTCATCAAACTAATGTGGTGTTAAGGAAAATAAACCAAAAAATGTTAAACCGAACATACCTATATATTCCATACGACGACCATACTTGATACTCCATAAGTAACATATATTTTATGTGCAGATTGTATATGATACTTATACGTGCACATACCTTGAGATGTCTCAATGAATCTTAGACATCTAAACATGCAAACACGTGTTACTTTTAGCGGGTACTTGGGCCCTGTTTGTTTACTAGTCGCTAACGACCAACGACTACGACCGACTACGATCATCGACCATCGATTTATTCTATTGTTCGTTTGACAGTTGTTTTGTTGTTCGTTTGGTATTTTTTGAATTTTTGAATTTTAAAATTATTAATTTATGAAAGTTTTAATTCTATATACTGTACATTCTTAAAAAACTAATTTATTTTCTTAAAATAGTTAATTTAATAATTAATTTATTTTAAATTAGATTATAAAAATTTAAATTAGTTTTATTTTATTAGATTTAATTTTATACAATATTAAGTTAATTTAAGCTTCTTCAATTCAATTTAATTAAAATCAAGTTTTTTAATTTTAATTTAATTTATTTTATTATATTTATTTTGTTTTACATTATTTTTTATTATTTTAAATTATTTTAATCACTTATTTTATTTTATTTTTTAGTCGCTATATATTGTTCGTTTTCAGCGACTCTCAAACGAACAATCGCTAGTCGATGGCGGCGACTGCCAAAACGAAAAGAACCTTGATAGCAAAGAGCCAAGTAACAAACCTTTGTAAAATCGGATCAAAATACTTTTAAAACCGGTTCAACTAGCCAAAAGTTAGGTTATTCTCCTAATGTATATACTGTTAACACCAATATCGAAGGTAACCCACTATTCTAAGATTGTGTAACACAAACAGTTTCTGTAAAAAATAATAGTAAAATACCAAAATTTACAGAGAAAAATAAATGGAAAAAATCATATTGTCCCCATTTTTTATCGAGAAAAAATAAACTACAAAATTTAACGTTGGTTATTAAGTTTGGCCCCATTTTTTATCCCCCACACTCCTCTCTCTTGGTCCTTATAAACTTCTCCTCCCAATTCATGAAACCCAAGAAAATAATATCTTCGTAATTAAGAAAATACAAACTTATTTCTCTCCTCTAAAGAACCATGTTGAGTGCTTTTTGGGGTCATGCATCAGCTATTGCTATAGCTTCACCAATAGTCAGCATTGTGGGTTTTCGGGGTGATCGTACTACCATAAGGTAATTTTCTTGATTTGTACTTTTTTTTTCTTTGAATATTAATTTTTATATCTCTATATATATCTTCTTTTTTTGTTAGTTTTATTTTTCGTATATATGCATGCGTATTTATAATGTACATCTTCTTTTATTACGTGTTAATATATATTAAGACGACCAACATACGGAGAGATGAAATTTGTGGAAGTCGTTGAAAAACAAAGAGAAATGCCAACATTTCCTCAATCATTTCCAATGAACGGTGGTGATGGTCCGCACAGTTACATCCACAATTCCTCTTATCAAGTATGTAACAATGATATACTAGCTTTCTTTTTCTATATATGAGGTCACGTTTTCTAAGATAATATATATAACTTGTGATACAGAAAGTGGCGATAGATGGCGCTAAAGAAAGGACAAGGGAAGCAATCTTAGAAAAACTCGATCTTGAACTCCTAAACCGTAACTCTGAATCAAGTATCTTGAGAATTGCTGATTTTGGTTGTTCCATTGGACCTAACACGTTCGATGTTGTCCAAAATATCATAGATACGGTAAAACAAAAACACCTAAAAAAAGAAACACATATTGGTGCTCCTCTTGAGTTCCAAGTATGCTTTAATGATCAACCCAACAATGATTTTAACACACTTTTTAGAACTCAACCTCTCTTTTCCAGACGAGAATACTTATCGGTCGGAGTTCCAGGCTCCTTCCATAGTAGAGTATTACCAAAAAATAGCCTCCATATCGGTCACACTTCCTATACACTCCACTGGCTTTCTACAATTCCCCAACATGTTTGTGACAAGGAATCTCCGGCATTGAATAAGAGCTATATTCAGTGTAATAATTTAGTTGATGAAGTGACTAAGGCTTACAAGATTCAGTTCAAAAAAGACATAGGAGGTTTTCTTGAGGCAAGGGCGGAAGAGCTTGTCTCGGGCGGATTGATGATCCTATCAGGACAATGCTTGCCCGATGGTATCCCAAAGGCTTTGACATGGCAAGGTGTTGTGATCGATATGATTGGAGATTGTCTTATGGATATGGCTAAATTGGTAAGAAATCTAATTTTAAAACATTTTTTTCTTATATTCTAAGTTTTCGAAACATGGATTATTTTGTGCTCTAATTCTTAATGTTCTCTACTAAAACAAAATTTTTACACTTATTGTTGCGACTTTTGTTTGTGTTTGTAGGGAATAACGAGCAAGGAAAAGATCGAACTGTTCAGTTTACCCACATATATCCCGCATATTAGTGAATTCAAGGCAAACATTGAGCAAAATGAAAACTTTACGATCGAGACAATGGAGGAGATAAGTCATCCTATGGATTATATGCCATTAACCAACGACTTCATCACTTCCATGTTTCGAGCCATTCTCAATACGATTATTGAAAAACACTTTGGAGACGGTGTGGTCGATGAACTATTCGATCGACTTGCTAAGAAGCTCGACAAGTACCCGATTAATTTCAGAAGGTGTAAAAAGTATGTGAACTATTTTATTGTGCTTAAAAGAAAATAAAAATGGAGATAATGAGTAATGACAACTAGTTATGTCATTATTTATGTTGTGTAGTTATCATAATAATAATGTACAAATCATGTAATGTGTGTGCGTGTGTGAAGTGTGTTTCGATTCAATAAAAAAAATGGTCACTTGTGCGTGTTTCATAAATTCTTACTGTCTTTCATAAATTCTTACCAGTATATCTGGAAATTTAATTACTCAGACCAAACACAGCAGTGGCTTAGAGCCACTCTCATATTAATCATCTGAGTAGTATATGTTCTTGTATTTTCTTTTAATTAATTTTTATCTCCAAGACTTCACTTCCTCATCAATTTTAGTTTTATAAAACTTTTTCTTCTTCAATCTCAAGTCATTAACTTTTTTTCTTAGTCAATTAACACTAGCACACACGCAAAGTGGGCATAATGCGCCAAATTAATTCTTAATTTCTTGGAGTATTTTGTATTGTTGTATATATATATATATTTCAAATCTCAATTTAAAGCTAATATTTTTTGTTATTTTTAATTTGTTTATATTTTGCTTATGTTTTGTTATTTTTATCAAAAAGAATTTTCCCTTATTTCAGTTTTTAGTAAGTATAATGCTCTTTTTGACTTGCACAACGCCAAAAGAGCTTTTGGTGAAGAAAACAGTAGTGGAGAAGCAGGTTTTTCTAGTGGAGTTGGAGATTTGGCAAAGGTACTTTTGTGATTAACATTACTAATTATTAGAGAACTAGGTTTTGTGAGATGTGATATTATAGATTTGGCAATGTTGTTTCAATTTCTAATTATTAGGGAACTAGTTTTTGTTCTTTGCATAAACATACAAAACTAAACTGATGTCAAAAGAAAAAAAACAAAACACGAAACTAAAAACTCGAACATCATCTTACAAGAATCTATGAATTAATTTTGAAAGTTTAGATCCATCGTCTTGATGAACAACGATGACGAATTAAATCTTTATGCTTATACTATCACACAAACATTTTAAAAGTAGTCCAATTATTTCTTAAAAACACAAATTAAAACACTGTCACGGCTTATACAGAAGGATCTAATTTCCAACAACAAACTAATAAAACAAACGGTAATACAACACTTGCTTATTCAATCTCACTCGCGAGCAACTTCAACAAGTTGTTTCCCAACGTTCTTACCGTGGAAGAGTCCAATCAAAGCAGAAGGTCCGTTCTCGAGTCCTTGCGCTATATCCTCGACATAAGTTATCTTTCCTTCTCTTACATACGGAAGCACAAAATCCAAAAACTTGGAGTATTTATCAAAACATTCGACAGCTGCAAAACCTTGAACTCTAATCCTTTTGTAAACAATGCTGGCTAAGTTATGTACACCTTCTGGTTCCTTTAGATTGTATTGTGAGATCATTCCACACGCTGCGATTCGCCCATGTGTCCTCATGTTTTCGAGCACTGCGTCTAACATTTTGCCTCCCACGTTCTCAAAGTATATGTCTATTCCTTCTGGGAAACACCTAATTAATCCACAAACACCAAAACCAAACAGAATTTTCTTACAAAACCAAACTTATTTCAGTCCAAATGAATAAACTAAAGAATTTCATGTTTTCTTATCCAAAACAAACAATCCAAAATTTAAAATGAACCGAACCGAATTTATTTTTGGTCCTGCTTCAGTAAATTAACTATACACATCCCTAGAATTTACTGACCTCTTCAGGGCAGCACTAAGATCACGCTCTTCCTTGTAATTGAAAGCATCGTCGTACCCAAACTTAGTCTTGAGAAGATCAACCTATAACAAAGAGAGGAAGAAGGGGACACATCACTTTCTTGATAGAAAGACTAAATAAAAAGGTGAACTAAATAATAAGTGATAAAGACCTTCTCTTTACTACTGGCGCTTCCAACAACATAGCATCCGGCCATCTTCGCAAACTGTCCCACAAGTTGACCTACTGCACCAGATGCAGCTGATACAAAAACAGTCTCTCCTTTCTTCGGAGAACAGATTTCGTAAAACCCAACAAACGCAGTTAGACCCGGAATACCTTTAAAAGAACAGAACAGAAGAAAGTATTAAAAAAAAAATTCCAAAAAAGCATAAATAATCATCTACTAAGTTTTGATAATTGAACTAAGAACTAACTCATATAAAGAAGCAAATCAAGAATTAAAATCACCAAGAAGAGCATTTTGAGAAAGCATATACCAAGAAGTCCAGTGTAGAAAGATAATGGAACATCGGTATGATGAATCTTGAAATGTGAAGAATGAGTTGGAGTAATAACACTATACTCTTCCCAACCAACTCTTCCCCAAAGTAAATCTCCATTTTTGTAATTTGGATGACCTGAATCTATTGCTTTAGCCACTCCATACCCAGTGATTGGCTACACAACACACAATGAAATCTTAGTGAACTACAAAGCAAAAACATTCGTAATTTCAAGATTCTTGTATACCTTGCCTATAGAGTAAGCGAGAGCGAGGGAAGCCGGGGACGAAGGGTCGGGCTTTTCCATGCGAATGCGGCTGAAAGGATCGCAAGATAAGTAGAGGATCTTCACTAGAACCGCCATGGATCCGGGAGGTACACGTAGGTCAACGGTGGTTGAGGCAATGTAGAGGTCGGATTCTTTAGGGAATCCACTCACGTAGTTACGGAGAATCACCTGGTTGTTAGTAGCTGTTGTCACTACGCCGATGTTCGCCATTTTTTTTGCCGATTTAAAATCGATCTCCTTCTTTAATAACGGTTAAAAAAGATTGTTAAACAGAAAAATAAATTCTCACTGATTGGACAACGATTAGAATGAGTTTTTTGTTTTTGTTTTTTTTTGCTTTGGGAATAATAATAACGAAACGACAAAACATTGTTGGCGATGAGAAACAATAAAATATCAAAGATACAGACATAGATGAATAACCCACGTGGAGGGGTAACCGGATTTACTATTTAAAAAAGAGAAATTTCTGACATACTTTTGTAAACATGAATTACACTTTAGCAGAATGTGGTATGTAATTTACCATTTTATAATTACCAGTAATAAAAGTAGTACTAAAAATGTATTGTCAATTTTTTATATTGCTATAATTGGCTTTTTTAAAAAAGTAATTGTTGAAAGCAGAGCCAATTCTAAGCTCAAGTAACAAAGGTTGGAATTGTAGTCTTAAAATATTTCTGTATTTTTGCACCCCAAAATTTATGTACATACTTTTTCTCATTAGTCTAGTGGTAAGTCTCATTAGAAACCTCGCAAAAGTAAAGATACCGTTACGTATGGTGTTTGATTCCTTTTAGTCGTTTACCATCAATTCTGTTTTGTCCTTTAACTCACTAATGAATCGATCTAAACTTTGTTTTAATTTTCAATTTCACGACGACTAATCTTCTCAAAGTGAATGTAGCTGTGGAATAATGCATTGAACGAGGTTTTTTTAATAGACCTAAAGCATGACACCATTTCGACTAGTCAAGTGAGAATGATTTAAATAATTTTGCGCTTGGAGAAAATTGATCTCTAACCTAAACCTATACAAAAATATCTACTCAAATGAGAACTACTAGACCACGATCAGAGATCAATTTTCGTGTAAAATTGATTTCTAGTGAGATTCTATGTTATACTATTAAGCGAAGTAGTTTTGATTAAAAATAAGACTCAAAATGAAACTCGATCTTCTTACTTATTAGATAAACCCATGGATACGCTAATGGTGGTATAAATAACATTGTCCTTGCGAAAATGGCGAATGATAGCCGAAACATTGGAGGTTTCTGAAGAAACGATTTCAAAGACTAATTTTATAAAGAAAATTTAAAGCAGATAGGACGAGAGGATAACTCAATTGCACTATAAGTGATTTAGTTTAATTTTTTTAATTTGAAAAATTTATATGAAAGAAAATATAAATATGTTTGTGGTTAAAAAAAAGCACATTAACTCGGTTGGTAATGTATCTATGGATTGTTCGAAAGATAAAAGGTTAAAATATTATTTTTGAGTTTTGTTTCTTTAATCAAACAACGTCGATTAAAATTTAAAATAAAAAGTCAATAAAAATTAGCGACATTTTTAGTCTGCAATTCGTAGAATTTTTTTTTTATATTAAATTTCAAAAATCGTGGAATTGCATTTTTTTTTCAAATCGTAAAATCGTATTTTTTTAGCAAAATAAAATTACGAAATTGTGTTTTCATATAAAAACTACAAAATCGTATTTTTCTTCACATGGAAAAATAAAGGAATAACATTTTACGATAAATTCATGATTTTTACTATTTTACTGTAAAATATGCAATTTGTCATTTTGCTGTACTAAATATTTGGTATGAAAAATTTTACCTAGCGGATTATTTAAACAGATTCCAATCGGTTTGGTTTGATTTTATCCCCCAACCTAACCACACATCAAAAACTGGATCAACATTAAATCGTTAGATCAAACTTATTCGATCCGGCGATGGCGAGATTCTCAGTTTGTGGAGGAGACGACGGAGAAGGACCAAGCAACAACAATCATCAATCCCGGAAAAGACAACGACTTCCCTCAATCGATGAAAACGAAGAAGACGCCGAAACCTCCGACGCCGGAAGTTCCGGTGAAGAAGAAACTCAAAATCGAGGAATGAGAACGGAATCTGAAGATCGAGAATCAACGAGCGATGATAGCGATCGTGAAGTTTTGATAGAAGAGAGACGATTTGGTAAATTCGTAAATAGTCAGAGTTCGAGCAAAGATTCGCATCTTTCTGTGACGTTATTAGATCCAGATGTTCTTGATTGTCCTATTTGTTGCGAGCCATTGAAGATTCCAATCTTTCAGGTTTTGTTTCTTCTTCTCTCTGATTGAGGAATTAGATAGATGAATTGGGAATTTTGTGTAGTATTGTTTGTGATAACTTTGTGGTTCTGTGTTTAGTGTGATAATGGTCATTTGGCGTGTACTTTGTGCTGCACAAAAGTGAGGAATAGATGCCCGTCGTGTACGTTACCCATCGGTTACGTTCGTTGCAGAGCGATGGAGAAGGTTATAGAAACATCTAGAGTCTCGTGTCCAAATGCTAAGTACGGGTGTAAAGAGAATACAGCCTATGGAAACCGTTTTAGCCATGAGAAGGTGTGTGTTTTCACTCCTTGTTCTTGTCCCATAGTTGACTGCAACTACTCTGGGTATTACAAGGATCTCAACAACCACGTTCGTGCTGAACACAAAGATGAACTGATCCCGTTCGTGTGGAATTCTCGTTTAACTTTGAGCTTGGACCTCAATGAGAAGACCACAATTCTTCAGGAAGAAAACGATGGGCAAGTGATTGTAGTTCAAGTTTTCAAGGCTTTGCATGCTGTGTATGTTAGTGTGAGCTATCTTGCACCTTTGGTACCGGGAGTGGGTAAGTTCTCATGTAGTCTGGCAAAGGTAACCGTTGATAGCTTACTGAAGCAAGGATTTATGGTGAAGAACGTTCAAAAAGTGACGAATGAATTGCCCGAAGATGGTTTTATGTTGATTCCTTCCTATTTGTTGTCTGGTAATGAGAACTTGAATTTGCAGATTTGGATTGGCCGTGGCCGGGTCTTTGTTCATTCCTGATTATGTAAAGAACTGAAGTCTAGTCGTAAAACTTTTCATGCTCAATTTTAGGTGTATATGGATTGTACATGCTTTTAGATCTAGTGGTGAGTTACATGATTTAGTTTAAGAATCTTACCTTTGTGGCCATTAGTATATTTGTGAAAAAAACTCTAGACAGAATCATATGGAATACGAAGTGCAATCGATTTTGGGAGTATAGCCATCAAACTGGACGAACCGGGCTTAAGATGCCAAGTTTGATCCTACACCTTTGCATTAACAAGTAGGATTAATAATCCAAAACAAACAACAATGAATCGGACTTGGTCAGATAAGTAAAAAAAAAAAGTCAAATGAAGCAAAAGTTGGATGGTAATGTTTTCGTAAAAATTTTGAACTTTACAGACTTACAGTGTTGATTTGAGAGTAACTTAGAAAGTTAAAATGCTCAGGTTTCTTAATATGGATCTTTCCCGATTAAATTCACTGTAGAGACCAGTTTTGAGTGGTTTAATAATCACACACTAGAGAAGTCTGAAAATAATAAATTTTTTGCTATTTTTGTTACTAATCTTTCAATACTGATTTACTTCAAAAATTTTGGTTTTACATTTTCAATGTGACAATGGACATATAGGTTCTGCTCTACATGCTGTAACAAACTAAGAAACAAACGTCATGTTTGTGTTCTTCCCATTAGTAACTAGATCTGTCAATTAGGCATGTCCGTGTCCATATTGGTTGTTCATGTATATATTACGTATACTCTACATGTTCTACGAAATCTAAAAACCATATATGTTCTACGATATTTAGAATTCTAATTTCTAGGAAACATACTAATGTATATTCTAAATTTTACTCTACGTTTTAAAATGCTAGAAAACATATTCTTATGTTTTCCCCTATATTCTACAAAAATTAAAAAATAACTTATGAGTAATTTAGAATTCCTTAAAAAAAAAGAGACATGATAGTAGAATAATGAAACTATAAATAGATATGTTTACATTACGTCTGCAAATTTGAAAACTCGTATATGTGGTTGTGATTGAGGCCTGAGATTCAAAGAAGAGATTCAGGATGAGATTCAAAGAAGAAGAGATTCAGGCTGCGGCGGAATGAGAGAAAGAAAAAAAAATTGCGGCGGAATGAGAAGAAGAAATATGTCGAGACGAAATAAAAATAAATAAAAATAGGGAGATCAAATTGGTTTAGGAAAATTGGTCGTCTAAAAATATTGAAATCTTTAATCCACTAAATAATTTGTTTCTCTTACCAAAAACACATGAGAGAAAAAAAAACAAAAACCAGATTAATAATAAATACATCATCTATTTTCGAACAAAAATTTTCTCCTAAACATCAAATAAAAATGGAGGGGGTATATTATTAAAAGCATAATATATTTTATTAAATTTTGTTAATTTGGTTCGATTTTGAGTCGCATTTGTGAAAGAAAAAAATAATAATTGAACATTAATGGCCTTAATGTATACAGTATATTTGTAAGTTTGGTTTACGAATTTTGATATCCTGCAAGCTATTTCCGAGAAGGATTTATAACATTATCGACTGCATGTCTACATTCAGATAAAAACCCTTCGGAAAATTAAAACATAAAAAGAAGAGGATTATATTCTCACCTTTGTTTCTACCTTACGAAAGATTCAAACAAACCCTCTTCCGCCTTCATCTCTCCGGACGTATTTCTCCTATTGATTTCTAGGTGACATGGTGAGAGCCTCGACATCAGAAGCTCTTATAATTTACGGTGATGGAGAGAACAGAGGGACTAAGAGACGCTCGGCCGTGCTACTGGATCTTGATATTCTTGATTGTCCCGTTTGCTGTGAAGCCTTGACGATTCCTATCTTCCAGGTTTTGTTTCTTATCTGAAAACTTTTACGTTTACTAGTTTATTTTTTTCTCAAATTTTTACGTTCTCATAGGAGAGATGATATGAGAACGTTTACAACTTTTTTAATCACAACTCGTTTGTTTTGTATTTCAGTGTGACAATGGACATTTAGCTTGCGCTTCTTGCTGTCCCAAACTTAGTAATAAATGCCCTTCATGTGCTTTCCCTGTTGGTCACATTCGCTCCGGAGCAATGGAGAGTGTTCTTGAATCGATCTTGGTCCCATACCCAAACGTCATGTTTGGTTGCACCAAGAATTCCTCTTATGGGAAAGAGTTAACTCATGAGAAAGAATGCAACTTCGCTCCATGTTCCTGCCCTGTGGAAGAATGCAATTACATAGGCGCATACAAGGATCTATACGATCACTACCATCTTACTCACTTGAAAAGATTCACGCTTGATTACTTCAGTTATGGCAATTCCTTTAATCTCCGGATGAAAATCAGCGATAAGAAGATAATAATTAGAATGGAAGACACGAAGAGACTCTTATTTGCAGTGCAGTGTTTTAAGGAGCCTTGTGGTGTGTATGTAACCGTAAGCTGCATTGCACCATCTACTCCAGAAGTAGGAAAGTTCTCATATCATCTCTCCTATGCTGTGGATGGACACGTTATGACTTACGTATCACCAGAGATGAAGAGGGTTCTTGAAGTGAGTTCTCAAATCCCTAAGAAGAATTTCATGTGGATACCTCACTGTTTATTGCGTGATGATGGATGGTTGAATATTGTGCTCTCCATCAAGAATTCTGAGATCGACCAACAAAACATGTAACAATATCCCCTTTTTTTTTTTGGTAATTCCAAGCGTCTAGAAAGATTTTTTTTTTTTTATATACTAGAAATGTGAATATCATATTTAATTAAATTTGAGGTTTTACAAAAAAAGCTCAACTTAGGTTTGTAATCCTACTAACCAAGAAATAAAAAACAAGAGTTACAAGCAAAAGTTGACTGTCAATCAACAAATTATCTAATCCAAAGAGCCATCAAGCCCCTGAATTGCTTCCGTCTGGCGATGATCGTGTTACGCATTTCCTTGTCAATGTCTTTGAAATGCAAGGCTGGAGAGACAACGACTTTGTTATGCAGTAAGTTATTCCTCTGCTTCTAAATGTGGAGACAGCGGCCTACGCCGCTAGTTTCCTATAAGAGCTATATTAATTTAAAACCACAATTGACCAAAAAATTAAGAATATACCCATAGTTTTTATATTATTAGTTATCTCTCCTCAACTTTTGTAAGTTGGACAAAAATACTCCTCCGCATATAACAAATTAGTTAACAATATAATAAAATAGTTATCGACGTTTTTAATTGGATTCTGAATATATTATCTGTCAAATATCTGAGTAAGAATATATGATGAGTTAAATAATTATCTATTGGTTTAACACGATAATAAAATATATATCAATAAGTTTATAAATATATCGTGTTAAAACATATTGTATCGCGATAAGTTTATAATTGATATGATAAAATTTATATTATCATAGAAAATATTTATGGTAAGATAGTAGATATATAGATAATATTTATATTAACGTGTATAACGATGTTAACATGATAACAATAAAAGTAACATGTGTTACTTTAGTTTTGGTCAGCGGCGAAGCAAACCCAGAAAACAACATAATTGAGTTTTTTGGCCGCCACTGTCAAATCTTCAATCATCACAGCTCCTTTCTATCTTCGTCTCAACTCACCACTCCATTTAATCTAACTTCACGACACTATCTTTTTCTCCGACGTAGTTTCCGCAACCAATATAATCATCACCACCGATAGAATCATCACCACCACCATCAGAACCATTAACACGTACAATCATTTGTGCCACTTAGCCACTGCTCTTGCCAGAAAACTTAGCTACATATAATCATCTTCATTGTCACCGTCTCCTTGTTCTTCTCGACCACTGTTCATTTTTCATGAAATGTGCAATGAAGAAAGAGAAAAGAAGATAAGAAAAGTGCAGAAGGATAATAAAGTAACTTCATCAACTCTTTTACTGTAGAAATAGTGATCAATTCGTCCACCTAATTTTACATTCTTCTGTGGTCAGATATTGTAGATGCCCTTCCTAAAAAAAGTCATTTTTTTTTATTTTTCTTTTTAGCAATTTCTTAATTGTAAATGTAAACACCAAACTCTGAAAATGGTGTTTTTACTATCTATATATACATTTTTGGAGTACACTTAGCAAATAAATCCTAGAGTTGCTAAGTATTTACGAGTCCATGCCATTGACATTTATTATTACTTTTACAAAATTTAAATAAAAGATATTAACCAAACAATATCTTGCCTAATTTGTTTCTAAAACTCTCTACACAATCTTTCCATATATCTTCAAAAAACATTTATAGCAAATATTTATATTAACATTTTGCATAGCAATAAAAATACTAATTTATAATAATCAAAATATTCACATAGAAAAATCATATACACATAGAAGAAAAAGAACTATATCTACAATTGGGTCGATATTTATAAAAAACGGTATATCACGGATGAAACAATATTAACAAAACAAATCCAACTTACATTTAAAATTTTTAGTTATAAAAAAACTGACTCACGGTATACTGCAGAGTAAAATATTCAAAATTTTAAAATCTACCATACATCGTTACTTAAAAAAAAAAAAATATGTTTTCGTATCTATACTTCAAAAATTGATAGATAGATATCTATATTTTAAAATACAAATTAATATGATATATCTTCAGTTAATCTTAAAAAAATAACATTACATTTTTTTTTAAATATAGCCCCGCGGTATACCGCGGGTTAAATTCTAGTTTCCAATTAACGTTTACGTTTCAATTTTTCCCTATTTTTTTCTCAAAATCTAAACGCATATACATAAATTTTTTTTTAAAGATAAACAGAATTTATATATATCATTATACTAGATTTTAACCCACGGTATCCCGCGAGATGATTTATTTTTAAAGTTAGTATAAAAATATTCTGTAAATTGTATCTCCTTATTTTTAATCCGTATTGAAGCGGCAAACTAATGATATTTTAATCTTTTTATCATTGTGGATTCAAAAACCCATCCCGCCAAATCCGTCCGGCCAAAAAACTCATTTATTTTATTAATGTTGATCGTATTTATGATATGATTCTGAATCATTGTCTAAATATTTTAATCGATGTAGAACGTTGAACACACATTTTCGTTAGTTGGATAATATATGTCCGTTTTTAAAATTTCGAATCACAGTATATGCAGAAAAAAATTGATTTTTTTTTTTACTTTATGTATTATATGATGATTCAGAACAGTTAAAAACAAATCAAACAAATATGATAGGAGAATCATAATTCTAAATCTTAATCAAATCTTCTAAATATCTAAATTATTAAATATGGAATATCTGGTGCATGAGTTGGGTTAAATATAACCCGACCCAACAAACTTTTTATGACCAAAAATTTGTAAACGGGTCGGATTTCCAAAATATCCGAGAATAATTTTACCCACCCGACTCAAAAGTGACTGCAAATATACTAAGGTGGTGTTATTCAATGATGAATTTTAATAGAATTGAAATCTAACACTAATCCAGTGTTATTCAACTAATGATTCTAAATCTAACTCTAAAATCTGGTGTTATTGGATCTTATACTTCATTAGATTTTAATAGTTTGGTGTTATTCAACTAAGATTTAAAATACTTCATTAAAATCTAATGTTATTCAAAACTAAAAGACTTGTTAAATCTTTGTGTATTAAAATCATTTGAAATGAAACCTCTTTGGAGTTTCATGAGTAAATTATTAGAATCAAAATGCAAGATATACTGCAGAGATTTTGAAATCCACACGAACAGTTTCTTAAAAGCAATATCAGAAAGCAAATCTAAACCTTACAGAATTGACTTTAATTCCATCATTAAATAACACCCCTTAAGTATAGATTGTAAATCTTCTTTGGTTTTGTTTTGTATATCGACATGATGCTCTCTTTATTTTGAAAATTTAACCGATGGAAACCAATTAATATGACAAATAAGGTAATAAAAATTTAAATATTTGACACATGTTGCCATCAAATCGATCAATTCACATGTATCATGTTGTCATTCTTTTAGTGTTTTTTTTTAAGTGAAAGAAAACTCAGGGTGTGAATGGAGACACTTGTAATGCGGATTTCAAAGCGGTTTTGGTAAAACCGCTTTACTTTCACCAGTTTTTCTAAAAATTGTGGTTTTAAGAAAACCAAAAAGTAAAACCGCAGAATGTATAAAATTGTCTGCTGAATTAAAAAACGCACCCCAATATCTCACCACATCTAATAAGCAGTGGTTTTGTCAATTACGCACTGAATAACTTAAAAAAAATAAATATATTTTTTGACTTTTGATTATTAGATATCATATTATCCAACACAATACATTATCTATGATTATAATTTAAAAAACTATAGATTACCACCAAAAAAATTAAAGATTTTTGTTGTTAATACTAAAAATTCCATTAAAAAATTATGGACTTACAAACAAGTAAAACATTATAATTATAATTAATGTTGATAACCCTTACAACTTTTAAATAAATAATAGTTTTATCTAACCACTAGTTTATCAGAATTTCAAACTTCTAGATGCAGATTTTGCAGATGTAATGACAGAGACAAATATAAACAAGTGAGATTTTAATCATGATTTAGATGACATAAAAGCAACAGAAATAACAAATGGAGAACATATGACGCAAATAAGAGATAATATTGCAAATATGTTATGGAAAAATTAAAGTAATAGACAATATTTTTTTAATGTGGTGTACTTTTTTTTATGAAAAAATTAGTCAACGCATGTAACAATATGTATGTTACAAAATTAAATTTATATTTTGATCAATTTTTGTATTAGTGGTTTATAAATATCTGTTATTGTCTATTTATTAACACAAAAATAATAATTAATTATCCTATACTATTATTTGGGGAGTACACTTTATAAGATACCCTTAACTAACCTTCCCTTTTGTAAGAATTTACTTAAGAATGCCATTAGAAATAAAATTTTATAGAATAAATTAATTCAACTCATTAAGGATAAACAAGTCAAATACTATTTTATGCAATTTAATTAATTTAATTTAATTATAAAAACGAAAATCTATTATTAATTTCTTTAAAAAAATGACCAATCAAAATGAACATATAAGATTTGATATCTAACTTACCATATTAATTTGTTATTAATCATTATATTTCACCTCTCATCTTTATATGATTCTATTTCTATAAATAAATAAATCATTATATCATCTATTTAATAAAAAAAAAAGTAAATTTTTTTCCGCATATACCAAGATTTGAATTTTTTAAAACGAATATAAATTATTCAATGTATGAAAAAACAAATTTAACGGGTCAAAAATTCATATTTGAGTAATATATTCCATTTTTTTAATATCATCAATACTTAATATATCAAAAATTTATGAAGTATAAATACTCTAATTTGATTTTTTGAAAAAAATATTTATAATAGGCGGCGGGTTAAATATAATATATTATATGATGAAATGAGTTATGATCCTTATAACTATTTGAATATTTATATTTAATTTCATATCATTTTATTTTTAAAATTCATAATTTTACATACTACAATAAAAGATTTTCAAGATTTTGATTTGGAACATTTTAAAAAAGTTTAATTTAATATATTAAAGAATATCATAAATATTTAATAGATTAAAAAGGTAAAAAAAATTATAAATACATTAATTTGATTTTCTAAAAAGATATGTTTAAAATATTTATAGTAGACGGCGGGTTAAATGTAATGTATTATATGGTAGAAAGTTATGATCCTTATATCAGACGGTATTTTAAGATTTTATGATGAGATGAGTTAAATAAGGTTCGACACTTTTAAATATTTGAAAATTTGATTCTGCAAGCAATTTTGAAAATAATAAATAATAGATTGTGCCGCAATATTTTCATAGGGATTGTAAAATGAAAATATAGACTCCACACACGGATTGAATTTGGTATTATTATATAACAAATATATGTTCATAACATATTTGATTATGTGAATAATTGGTAAATTCCGTAATTAGCTCAAACAAATCTCTATTTCAACAACCAATGAATCAGAATTTGAAAAAATAATTTCCTAAATTAATTCAAAATAATAGCTTTAAGTAATTCAAAATAATCTAAGTTTTAGATGCGATTTATTTATGATATTTTGATTTTTGATCTAACTAAATTATATGCACTCTCATTTTGTGGTTGTTAACATAAATTAACTCATTGTTCAAATAATATTAATTTCTTAAAAAAATAATCTTATTTTTCGTTTTCATATCTTAAAAAATATATATATAATTGAATACTATAGAAAAAGGAAAATATATTCTTTTTTTTTTTTGTCGTCTGGATTTATTATTTATTGCAAATTATGAGAACTGTTACATAGACGATTCTACAACGGACAATTCCTTCCGACCCTTATTAGATTCACGACAGTACGACACCTCCTTCACCTCCTTCTTCATGCTCTTGATGGACACTTCTCTTTCTGCGTAGAATCCTGGCGAACGGCTATAATTGTACATCGCTGGAGATCTCCTGCACACTTGCCTCCAATAATCTGTAAATTCATTAATAAATCGCATTACCTGGGACTTGAACCCCAGACCTCTGGGTGTAGAAGCATTATTAACCCTTGGTCAACCAATGGGCCAAGGGGGCTTCCACAAAGGAAAATATATTCATTCTAATATTATATATAAGGACTGACAAAAAAATATTATTTTTTCACTTACTATTATAATATATCACAACTAACAACTTTATTCTAAAACATAAAATTTATTAATTTTGTAATAAATGAAATTCAACCCGTACTGTAGTACGGGTGATGATCTAGTTAATATATATAATCTATAATACGCACCGCAAATAGTTTTTTTCACCAATCAAACATTACTCTGTACCGCTTATTTTGTACAAACCGCACTTGTCCCGCAAATATATTTCTCCCGCACGTCCCGCAGTTGAACCGTACCGCAATGTGATACCGCACTTCTCCCGCACCGCAAAACGCAGTTACCATTCGGAGCCTCAAATATTTTTAACAAATATTGATTTCTGATTGATTGACTAAGGGCTTGATTGGTTCTCCCGCTAGCACCCTCCTAGCGGTTGCTAGCGGTCGGTTGCGGTTGTTAGCGGTTAGTACCAATCATAGAAACCGCTCCGTACCGCTTCGAACCGCTCGAAATCGCTGAATTTCAAAAGCTCCTTCCCGCAAGCGTTTGCGGTTGCGGGCGGTAGCGGTTGGATTTAAAAAAAAAAAAAAAAAAAAATCAAATGTTTACTTATAATTATTATAATATATATAATCTTATATATATCTTTCATCTTTTTATCACGTTCTCATCAGAAACCCTAATAATATTCTGAAACTCTATTCTCTCAATGTCTTCCACCCAAACTGATGAAAATCAAGAACCAAACGTAAGTATCATATATCATTTTATTCATTCATCACCTCATGTGTAACTTTTTGAATATTTTTCATGGCATCGTTTTTTATCTTTTCATTACGTATTGCTTTGCTTTTTGATTGAATATATGTTCGATTTGTTTTCTCGAATAGAAACTCACTTGCTTTTTAATTGAATTCAACGTTATTTACAGTTTGTCCCATTACTTGATGCAATTTTTGATGTTAAACCAGATGCATAAAGTACTATCTTGTTACAAAATTTCTTTATTTTTGAATAATTATGTAGTACTTTATTTATAGTTTTAATTATTAAGCATGTTCAAATTTTCTAATATTATCATAATAATATATTGGTGTTTTTATTTCCTTTTTTGTAATATTTTTTATTTATTTTGGTCATTTTTTATTTAACTGCTATCACACCCGCTGGTTTACCAGTCATAAAACTCCCGCAAACGCACCCATTTTCAAACGCTAAACCAGTCGTTCAAAACGCTTGGTAACGCTTGAAGCCGCAACCGCCCGCTTCCGCAAACTCCCGCAACCGCAACCGCAACCGCTGCGTTTAAACCAGTCAGGCCCTAACACATGTATCAATCGTGTTAATTACGATTTGAACATGTATTTCCTTTTTCACAAAACCCTATTTAAACCCTTAATAGTATTTTCTCAGAAAACCCTAATTAAAAAAATAAAAACAACTTTCACAAAACCCTAGGCTTTCCTTCTAGCTACTAGTTAATTTCCTTTTCCTTGGTTAGTTTGGGTCTGTGTATTCCTAAAAGGTGTTTTACAATTTCTTTTATAAATAAATCTCTCCATCGTTGTTTAAGAGATATCAGACTTTTTTTTTGATTAAAAAAAATTGGCGTTTAAACACTGAGAAGAGGATTCTCACCTCTTTGAATCTGCCTCCGTATTCTCCTATTGATTTCTAGGCAACATGGTGGAAGCCTTGTTATTTCACGGTGATGGAGGGGAGAGAGTGGCTAAAAGACACCGCTCGGCGACACTGCTAGATCTTGATATCCTCGATTGTCCTATTTGCTGTGAAGCATTGACGACTCCTATCTTCCAGGTTTTGTTTCTTATCTGAAGATTGAATTGTCCAGCTTTTAATGTTTTTTTTTTCTTGAACTTTTAAGGTGTAGGTACAACTTTTTAATCGCACCCTTTTTTTTTTTTTTTATGTATTTCAGTGTGATAATGGACATTTAGCTTGCTCTTCTTGCTGTCCCAAACTGAGGAACAAGTGCCCTTCATGTGCTTTCCCTGTTGGCCACAATCGATGTAGAGCAGTGGAGAGTATTCTTGAATCGACCTTGGTCCCATGCCCAAACGAAATGTTTGGTTGCACCAAGACTTGCTTTTATGGTAAAGAATCAGCTCATGAAAAAGAATGCATCTTCTCTCAATGCTCATGCCCTTCACGGGACTGCGATTACATTGGCTCATACAAGGATCTCTACGCTCACTATGAACTGACTCACTCCTCAAATTTTTCCTGGGGTATTAGTTGTGGCATTACCTATACGGCCGTGATGTTCATCAATGATGAGATACGAATTAAAAGGGTACATGAGAAGAAACTATTGTTTGCAGTGCAGTGTTTTTGGAAGCCGTGTGGTGTGTGTGTAACCGTAAGCTGCATTGCACCATCTGCTCCAGAAGTAGGACAGTTCTCATATCGTCTCTCATACACTAAGAATGGACAAACTGTGATTTATGAATCACCGGAGGTGAAGAAGGTTCGTAAAGTGAGTTTTGAAACCCCTCAAGAGAATTTCATGTTGATCCCTCACAACTTATTATTTCGTAGTGGCTTGTTGGTGATTGAGTTTTGTATCGTCGACAAGTTGAACCAAGAGTAAGAAGGTTGAGGTAATATAGAAGGAAGGTCATTCTATTTGATTGTAACACATTTGGTTTTGCACTTAGTGTGATAATGGACATTTATTGGAATCGACCAACAAAACATTTAACAGTTTTTCAATCTTATAACTTCTAATATATACTCCGTTCTTCAGTTTGGTTACATTCTTTCTTTTATTTTCTTTTTTTTTCTTTCAATTTATCCATGTATAAACACACAAATCTATACCATAAACATTACAAAAAATACATTTATGATACTAGCATTTTCATATACCTAGCTAGAAAGTATACGGTGAAATTCAAATAATGGATAGTGAAAAACATTCTAAAAGCATTTTCGCGTATGGACTAGAGAACAAAATCTTAAACTAACTCATGAGGCATGAAAGGTCAAAGGTCCCGCAAAAAAAATAGACATTTTATATGGCACTTGTATTTTAGTATTTAGCTGTGAATCGCAAGTAAATAATATGGGTAAAGACTAAAGAGTGTGATTCTTAATACCTAAGATGGGTGGCTGTGGAGGAAACAACCCATTTGTTCTACAGAGTTGGGCATTACCGAGAAGTTCCTCAGTCTCTGTTTTTTTTTTTCTCTCCCTATCGGTTCCTTCGAATCTAGACTATTTATTCTAGTCAAATAGATTCAAAACTAATTGGGACTATTATGTTAGGAGATCTCGGGGATTACGAGACCGACTTGAAAGGAAAGTTAACATTTATATAATATATTCTTATTATTAAATAGATAGATTTTCTATTATCATATATGTAAAAAACTTGTTAATCAAGTTATGATATTTGTATAAATAAGTCTATTGACTATTGAATAAAATTGAGAGAAAACTATTCTACTACTAAGGTTTCCTCCAAATTTATCATATTATTTCCCATGAATTATGTAGTTTAATTGGAAGACCTAGACTAAACAATGTTTAAAAATATTCTTGACCATTTACAATCGGATGGCAAAGCATGGTTTCTTTTCAATGTTTAATTAAGAAAGAAATTCCCTAAACTTCAACTGATCGCAACTAATTAGTGTCAAACCAACAACTCTTAATTGCGTGATGATGAATGGTTGAATATTATCCTTTGCATTAAGAATTCTGGATCGACAAACAAACATGTAACTTTGTTAAGACTTATGAGACTTCAACGAGTTGTAATTATTATGTTGTGTTAGTAATTGCGTTTAGTTGTTAAACCGTGGGCCATTCCTGGGATGGGCAATGACTGCCTCGTAAAGGGCCGTAATTTTTCCCAACATATCTAATTTTTCTAATATGTTGAATTTTTTTTCATGGAGTCCCAAACAAATATTTCATATTTGTAACTAGCAAATTAGCTCATTAGTATAATATCTGGAAAGGAATTGACAATATAAAAGAAAAAATTATAGCTAGGTAATTGTGAACAGTTTGTTAAATTCCTGTGAAATAATTGCCAATGGCTAGTAAATAAAATAATTAAAATGATTTTCAAAATTAATATTTTGATTATTAAAATTGAGTAATATTTTGGTTAGTAAAATTAAATTAAATATATAAGTAATTTTTGTTTTTGATGAAATGAAGAAATATATTTTATAAACTAACAAAACATATAAATATTTAGTCATTGCACCTCATCTTTTTTCTTTTTTATGTAAACAGTTGAATTTTAACTAATAAATTTCTTCCAATAAAAAACAAGCATTTAGCATTAATGCTATGTTTTAACTTTTTTAAACATAACTTACATAAGCATTGAGCTGGTTAAATTCGGAAGATTTTTATTCAGAGGAGAAAATAAAAAGGAGACTAGGGTTTAGACTTTAGACATGGTGGGAGCGAAGAGACATGAGGGTAAGAGACGCCCAGCAATGCTGCTTGATCTAGAGATTCTTGATTGTCCTATTTGCTACGAAGCATTGACAATTCCTATCTTCCAGGTTTTGCTTCTTCTTCTTTCTAATCATTAAATCTTTCTTATTAAACTTGGTGTTAGCTAGGAAAACGAATTTGTTTTGTTTTGTTGTTTTGCAAGATATTTTTTTAAAAACTTTAGTTCTTGAAAATATGTGTATAAATTTGGTAAGACGGTAGAGTATATATCATGAATTATAAAACAGTATATTGGAGAATGATTCTTAGTGGATGTTACCTAGAGAAATAGAGAATCCGTTGCTAAGTTTTTTTTTCTCGAATTTTGAAGTGTTGATACACCTTTTTAGTCACAATTCATTGTTTTTCTATTTCAGTGTGATAATGGACATTTAGCTTGCTCTTCTTGCTGTCCCAAACTGAACAATAAATGTCCTACCTGTGATTTACCTATTGGCCACAGTCGTTGCAGAGCAATGGAGAGTGTTCTTGAATCACTCTTTGTCCCATGCGGATGCGCAGAGTTAGTTTGCAGCAGACAAGTATCTTATGGGAAAGAATCAACCCATGAGAAGGAATGCAACTTCTCTCCTTGCTCCCAGGCGAACCTTGAGTTCTTTGATGCTCCGGAAAATTTATGCGAGTGCCACGACGCCTCCAGCGAAACTGCCATGCCGCAGCCTCATCTAGAGGACGTGCAGGAGGAGCCTCTCCATGCTGCACTACCACAGGCAGCCCCGTATTTCTTACCGAGAGACTCGAGCCAGTTCCCATCGCCACCGCAGTACACTAGTATCTTTGATATTGAACACATATTTCAAGCCTTTCGACTCAATTAGACCTTGCTTAGGCGACATAGCAACTATTCGGCCCACAGACTGTTTCTAATAGAGTCATGACCGTGGTGGATAGGCCCGGCCCAGAGAACAAACCACTTAAGATATCGATTCGGATCTCATAATTTGAGGACTTTTTTAACTAAAATTTTGTTAAGATTTTTTTATTACAAATATTTTCTGTATGGCTTTTTTAAAAAAATGTGCGGGCTTTTACATACAAATGAATTATTATCTTTAATAATAAAATTCTAAATAAATGTGATTTAAAAAAAAAAATATTGTGGACTATTCAAATTTGGAAACATTATATGAAATTTAATGTAATTTTATTTATATTAACATTATTTATAGTTTTTTTACAATATATGTTGGACCGTCACTGTTGGTCGAACTAGAGGAACACGTCGTTCTAGGATTGGGACTCGTAGCGGATCAGGAGGCACTACTGTTTTGTAACGATAGGGAAAATCTTCCTTTGGCTCTCTCTTTTCAAATTCCCGCCTCTTTTGCTCAAGGGCATAAACGTCGCTAACCAACTACAATGTGTTACTACTTCCTCGAACCACAAGGTCCACAACAATGCACAAGTCACATCCACAATTTCTTTTTGAGTAAGAAAATAGAAACAGTAAAAAAAACGATGCGTTTAACCGCGAGCTTATCTACTGGTTCTGTACTTTTGTTCTTTAGTTCACTGAAACGATGCGTTTTATGCTTCTTCTCACTCTCTTGTACTTCACTCTAGACCCCATTCTCGATTCTCAAAAAAGAAAACTTTTAAATCTCTGCTTCGTCTCGTCTCTTCCTCAATTTCTCTGCCTCTTGAACCTTGCCGCTTATTCTGGAGAAAACCCATTAGTCGTTTGTTCTGTTCAAGTGAGATAAAGGTACTAATTCAGTCAGAAATCTGCCTTTAGGGTTTGCATTTTGTTCTTCGTATACAAATCTCTTCTTTTGCTTGTAGATAGTGTTACTCTCTTGATTCTTTGTTGTGAATATGGCTTGTGAGTTGTGACACTATGAAAACGATTGTTGTATGTAAAAAAGGTTCAAACTTTTCTCTTTTTTCTTCCTCTTGTACTCTCATATAGCTCTGATTTGATTAGCTCTTTTGGTATGTTATTGTCTATGATGATTTGTTGTGAATATGGCTTGTACGAGTTGTGACACTATGAAAACGATTGTTGTATGTTAAAGGTTCAAGCTTTTCTCTGTTTTCTTCCCCTTTTACTCTCATATAGCTATGACGTATGAGACACTATGAAAACGATTGTTGTATGTAAAAGGTTCAAGCTTTTCTCTCTTTTTTTCTTACCCTTTTACTCTAATATAGCTCTTTTGGTGTAAAATTGTTTTCTGTTTGGGTGATGTTCATCTCTTACCATATCTGTTTGTGTACTTGTGTCTTGCTTAGCTTCAGTTATGATAACATAATTTTGTTTTTAATTTACGCAGAGTAATGGATTTCCAGTCGCAGGACATAATTGTAACTCTTAATACTGAGAATGAATGTATGGAAATGAATGAGGAGTGTGACGAAGAAACTCAAGGACTAGTACGAAGTGAGACTCAAGCGATATCGGTCTTTGACTCTAATCAACACTTAAAAGCTGATGTTTGGAAAGAGTTTGTATCAGTAGGAGTAGGGGAAGATGGCAAAGAAAGGGGTCATTGCATCAATTGTGGTAGGAAACTTATAATAGAAAGAATTTATGGAACATCACATTTGAGGCGCCATTTACTATCTTGTCCAAAGAAGCCTGAAAATAAAAGTGGAGGCAATGGTGAACAAGACAGACACAAACGTAATTCTACTGACGTGAAGAGAGCCTTAGTTTCCAAATACTCCTACGACAGAAGAGTGAGCAACATTGTCTGGAAAAAGAGGAAACGTCGTTCGACATCAGAGGGCAAGACAAGCTCAGCGATGCTGCTTGGTCTGGATATTCTCGATTGTCCCATTTGCTTCGACGCATTGACGATTCCTATCTTTCAGGTTTTGTTTCTAATCTGTTTCTCTTTTGATAAATATGTGTTTAAACTAGGCAAGATCGAGTAACTATCATGAACTATTAGATACTATATCGATAAATATCGTTCTGTATTAATTAGCAGTTGAGATATTCGTAAGCTTACATTTGGGTTTATTTACTGTGACAATGCGATTCGCGGGTTAATCTGTTTTCTCCATTCCATATTCATGTTCTTTTGATGGTTATATTTACTGCAAGGACCGATTTATTTCGTGTGGTTATTAAAGCTTTGATTGGTATTTCATTTCAGTGTGATAATGGGCATTTGGCTTGTTCCTCTTGCCGTCCCAAACTGAGTAATAAGTGCCCTACATGTGCTTCGCCTATTGGCCACAATCGCTGCAGAGCAATGGAGAGTGTTCTTGAATCGGTCTTTGTCCCATGCCGAAACGCCAAGTTTGGATGCACCAAAAAGGTGTGTTATGGGAAAGAATCAACTCATGAAAAGGAATGCACTTTTTATCAATGCTCCTGCCCTACATTGGACTGCAATTACACCGGATCATACAATGACATCTACAGTCACTTTGTTGATGACCATCGTCACGAACCCAAATCTGTGACCTTTTTTTGCGGTGGTTCAGTTGACGTTCAGATGAACATAGCTAGCGACAAGATTCTAGTACTTCAGGAATCTAAGAAGAGACTATTGTTTGCGCTGCAGTGTTTCAACGAGCCGCTTGGTTTGTATGTGACTGTTAGATGCATTGCACCATCTACTCTGGAACTAGAGAAGCTTGCATATTGTCTCTACTACTCTATGGATGGACAAACTCTTACTTATAAGTCGCCAGAAGTGAAGAGGGTTCTTGAAGTGAGCTCTGAGACCCCTCAAGACAATTTCATGTTTGTCCCTCACTCTTTATTACATGGTGAATTTCTGGAGATGAAGATTTCCATTGGACTTAAGGTTCGTTCGTGCGGGCTCATAATTTCTCTCTGTAGGTTCCTTCTGTTTTTTTTCTTACATATTCCTATGGAAACCCTGTCTATTGAAGAACTAGTAAGGTCAATCTATGTACCCTCCTCACCTGCGTTAGAATATATATGTTCTGGCCTGATTAATCTAGCTAACATCAGTTCTAAATGTAGAGGCTTTTACAATATCTTTGGCTTGGATTGATTCAGTTGAGTAAATTTTCCAAGCAAAATCTAGCGAGCTCTATAGTGATGGCACAGAAAGTCCAACTTCTTACTCGTTTAGTTAAGTTAATTACGTTATAGAGTCGTTTTTCGGTTCACTACTTCACTATTGATATACTAGATTGCAGAAAACTCGTAATGTAGCAATTAATCTAGCATTTGAAGCTTAATGGTTTGGTGTTTTGGCGATTCACTAGTATTTGAGGCTCAAAGCAGAGCTATAGCATGTAACCTATCAATACTAGCCATCGTCTCTCAATGAAAGCCAGCTGTTATTTCCAGGACATAGGTGCAAGGATTCCCATTGCCTTTAAGAAGAAGAAGCCGAGGACAAAAAGGAGAAGAGCTCGTAAGTGGGACATGAGTATGCTCAGGAAGGAAGCATAAAGTGGCTAAGAATTGGTGAAGGAGAGAAGAGCCTCTATCTGAGAAAGAGGGTTTAGTATTATTTAATAATCTTAGTACGAGTCGTCTTTCGGTTCACTACTTCAAAACTAGATTGCAGAGAAAACTTGTAATGTAGCAGTTAACCTAGCGTTTGAAACCTAATGCCTAATGGTTTGGTGTTTTGGTGATTCACTAGTATTTGAGGCTCAAAGCAGAGCTATTGCTTGAAGAGGAAGTTATAACTAAGTAAAAAGAAATTCTCAAAGTCTGGAATGTAGCCACTTTCTTATATATAACAGCCTAAAGAGATATTTTGGCTCCATACAAATTTTCAGGCTCCAATTATGTCCATTTACCATATGCACAAGGAACCTTTGGGATACAACACTCTTTCTAGATTTGTTCATTAATTAATTTCATGTAAATATGAATAATTAGATTGTAAATTAGCTATTATTTATTTTTAATGAATATATGATGTTAGTAAATGAATACATACATGGAAAAGAGTAGTTTTAAGAAAAAATAAAATGATGTATTTTTCAAATTTTAATAATAACATGGTATTTTTACAAAAATAACGAAATGTGAACCACATGTGTGGTAGGCAAGTGGTTATAGTCTGGTGGAAGAGTTGTCATGTTGGTCTAGGTTAGAGATCGACTTCCCAAATGTAGAATTATTCCTCATTTTCCATGTGGTTACATGGGGGAATCTATCTATGGATTATCTCTCCCTAGTGATTAGGCTCGGACTCCTGCATAAGCCTAAAGATATACCTTGAGTTATAATAAAAAAAAATTGATTTTTCAAGTTCTCAAAACGACGTAGTTTTGTTATTCCACTGAAACGATGCGTTTTGTGCTTTCTTCTCTCTTCTTCACTTGAGTCAATTCTGATTCTCAAAAAGAAGCCTCAAAATCTCTCTGCTTCTTCTCAGCTCTTTCTGGATTCGTCTTCGTCTTCATCCTCTGCAGCTTATTCTGGAGAAAACCCATTAATCATTCGTTCTATTCAAGTGAGATAACGTCGCTAATTCGAATCAAAATTGAGCATGGACTTTAGGGATTTCATGTTTGTTCTTAGTTTCTAAAGCTCTCTTTGCTTGTAGATAGTGTTACTCTCTTAATACGTTTGCTTTGTCATGTTCGTTTCTGGGTTTGATCAAATTCATAGCTTTTATCTCTTATAATCTCTATTTAGGGTTTTTCATATTCATGATTGTTCTACAAGAGAGGTGTTTCTGTTTGCTCTTGTGATGGAAATCATGAAATTTCATTGATGTGTTTTTGATTAATGCAGAAATGGATTTGGAGTCTGTAACTCTTAATGTTAAGAATGAATGTATGGAAATGAATGAGGAGGATGATGATGAAGAAACTCAAGGACTAGTAAGAAGTGAGACACAACCGACTCAAACAGTCTTTGATTCTAATCATTGTGTAAAAGACGATGTTTGGAAAGAGTTTGCACCGATAGGAAAAGGAGAAGATGGCAAAGAAAGGTGTCGTTGTATTCATTGTGGTAAGGATTTGGTTACACCTGCTTTCACATCAAATTTGTGGCGCCATTTACGATCTTGCACAAAGAAGCTTGAAGCTAAAAGTGGAGGCAATGGTTGTGAACATGATAGACTTAACAAGGATCAAAACAAATGTAATTCTGTTGATGTGGTGGGAGCTTCGCTTTACGAATCCTCTAGTGATAGAGAAGGAGTGAGTAACAACACTCTCTTGAAAAAGAGGCAACGTAGTTCGATATTAGAAGGCAAGACACGCTCGGGGATGCTGCTTGGTTTGGATGTTCTTGATTGTCCTATTTGCTTTGAGGCATTGACTATTCCTATCTTTCAGGTTTTGTTTCTAATCTGTTTCACTCTGAATTGCAGTTTCTCCTTTGAAAATGTGTGAATAACTAGACATGATCAAGTATACATTTTGACCAGTTGAGATTTTCTTAAGCTTACATTTGGTTTATTTACTGTGAGAATGCGATTCGCGGGTTAATCTGTTTTCTCTTTTCCATATTTATGATCTTTTGATTGTTATATTTACAGCAAGGACTGATTTCTTTTGTTTCGAATATGTGTGGTTTTTAAGGCTTTGATTGTTTTTCATTGGTATTGCATTTCAGTGTGATAATGGACATTTGGCTTGCTCCTCTTGCTGTCACAAAATGAGTAACAAGTGCCCTACATGTGCTTCACCTGTTGGCCACAATCGCTGCAGAGCAATGGAGAGTGTGCTTGAATCAGTCTTTGTTCCATGCCGAAACGCCAAGTTTGGATGCACTAAAAATGTATCTTATGGGAAAGTATCAACTCATGAAAAAGAATGCACTTTCTCTCAATGCTCTTGCCCTGCGTTGGACTGCAACTACACTGGATCATACGATAACATCTACACTCACTTTTTCGATGACCATCGTCACAAAACCACATCTATTTCCTTTGTCTGCGGTGGTTCTGTTGATGTTCAGATGAACATATCTACCGGTAATACTCTAGTACTTCAGGAATCTAAGAAGAGACTATTGTTTGCGCTGCAGTGTTTCAACGAGCCGCTTGGTTTGTATGTGACTGTTAGATGCATTGCACCATCTACTCCTGAAGTAGGGAAGCTTGCATATTGTCTCTACTACTCTATGGATGGACACACTCTTACATACAAGTCACCAGAAGTGAAGAGGGTTCTTGAAGTGAGCTCTGAAACCCCTCAAGACAATTTCATGTTTGTCCCTCACTCATTATTACGTGGTGAATTGCTGGAGATGAAGATTGCCATTGGACTTAAGGTTCGTGCGGCCTCATAATTTCTCTCTGAAGGTTCTTTCTGTTTTTGTTTACATATTCCTACAGAAACCTTGTCTATCGAAGAACTAGTAAGATCAATCTATGTACCCTCCTCAATATATATGTTTTCGCCTGATGAATCTAACTAGTAAAATCGGTTCCAAACGTAAACATTTTGGCTTTATGATTTGTTCTCGTGTAGCTAAGTTAATTAAGTTAGAGACTCGTTTTCAGTAACTATCTCACTGTTGATATACTAGATTGCAGAAAACTTGCAATGTAGCAGTTAATCTAGCATTTGAAGCCTACTGGTTTGGTGTTTTAGTGATTCACTAGTATTCGAGGCTCAAAGCAGAGCTATTGCTTGATGAGGAAGTTATAATCAAGCAAACAGAAGAAATACTCAAACTCCGGCATCTAGCCACTTTTCTACAAAACCTGAAGAGATATTTTGGCTTCATACAGTTTTTCAGGCTCCAATTATAAGTCCCTTTACCTAAAATTCTCTTGAGTAGACATTATATTTGACATTTGTAATAACATTAAGCCATCTCAAATTTTTCTTGTCTTCTTCTGGTAATATGATATCAAAGCTCTAATAAGGCTTCACAAATCCGCGCACAGTTTCCTCTTCGATTGGGACTTGTCGAATCTTCGAATTCGAAACGGTGAAACGAAAATGTAAATCACAGTATCTCAGCACTTCTCCAAACCCTAGTGATCAGAGCAATGGCGGAAAAACAGACAAAAAGGGAGAGCATTTATTACTTCACATCGTCCAAGCCAGCTTTTCTTTGAATCCACAAAGGTCAGACTTTTACAGGAAAAGCTTAGATAACAAATGTACAAAATACATCATCTTCTAGATGGTTTGCAGAATATTTAAGAATATGGTAAATATCGTTTAAAAAAAAAAAGATTATGGGAAAATTGGAAATAAAGGATATCTACTTAATAATTTGTCCATATACACCTTTTTTGTGAGATTGTCAGTTTGGACGATTTTACCCCTACACCCTAATTTAAATGTTTTTTTTTTTAAATAATCATAAAAACAGGTAGATATACAAGAGTAGAGGTGATTTGAAGTGGAATTTTTTAGATTTGGTTTAAAAAAAGTTGATTTTTTGATAGATAAAGTTTCATCTAATTTTGGTAGAACACGTTTTCTAGAGTTCTGCGAAACTCAGAATGTGTATTCTGCATTTTTGTACATGTTCTACATATTTCAGATTAGATTTTTGTTCTGAGAATTTTAGAAATCCGAAAATCATAAATCTAAAATATTTAGAACATGCATTCTACGTTTTTCTCTATGTTCTGAATATTTTAGAATAGACGTTCTAATAATTTCTACATCTTCTGCCATCGTTAGAAATTGTAATCTGAGTTTAGAATGTAAATTCTACGGTATTGCAGATTTCGATTTCTGTAATTTTTAGAATGCTCTAAATATAGAAAGTAAATCTTCAGAAAAGGAAACAAAATATTTGTTTTAGATTACGATTTAAATGAATATTTAATGTTTAGATTACGATCTACAAGATGTAGAAGTTGTTGTCTACGGTTTTTAGACTAAGATTAAAACCTAAAACATTTTCTAAACCCTAAAAAGCTACACGTCTTAATCCTACACGTCTTAGTTCACCACTTTCGTTTCTAAAAAGCTAAGAACACGTTTTCCTTCAAATTTTCCCTTTTTTGATCAACGATTTCTCGATGCACATCTACGTAAGGAGTGGTGTGTGGAGATTGTATAACAAGAAAGAGTGGAGATTTATTATTGATGAAAAAAAATCGTGGGAGATTGTTGAGTTTGGAAACGACTACAACTTTTGAAGAGTTACAGGCGATGGTTGCAGAAGACTATGGAATAGAACAGAGTACAGTTGATGTGGAGTTAAGTTACTTACCCACGGATCTTAGCTTGGATTGTCCTCCTGTTGTAATGATGAATAACAGAAAGGTTAGTAATTTCCTTTCGTACTGTAAAAGGAAAAATACGATCAAGTTATGTGTGACGTTCAATGGTGGAGATAAAGATACAGGGAGTAAAGAAAAATTCGATCTGAATAAGGAACCCGACGCTGCAAGTAATGGAGATGATGATGTTAATGTCGACGATGGAGATGATGATGTTAATGTCGACGATATTTCGTCATCATGGGTTATGAAAGAAACTAGAAAGAATGACGATTGTTTCAAAACTCCAAAAAATGTTATTGTTGGTCATGGAGTTAGATTGTCGTCAAAGTATTCTTGTGTGAGCCAGGGTCAATATTTCAGAAGCAAAGAATTGTTACAGTCAATCATGGATTGTATGCGATGAAGTATAACTGCGACTACATGATTATAAAACCTGATAAAAAAAATTGTGGTGTATACAATGCATAGATGTTGGCTGCAAGTAGAGACTTCGAGCTGAGTAAATAGATTACAGTAACCGGTTATATCACACGAAGGTTTTTCAAAATACTCTAGTCATTGGTCAACGCCTAAGTCAGAGAAGACAGTAAACACTTTCATACGTCCGGTTTTTGACTGGTTCGTTAACCGGTTTTTAGAGCTGGTGTGAAATAAGAACCAAAATAAATAGTTGTTGCCTCAAATAAATACATCAAAAATGCATTAAAATGGCTTTGGTGTTGGGTCGTGTCTCGTGTGCATAGGAATCCTCTACTTTTGATCAGGAAAGTAGCACGTATGAATATAAAATCTCGGCATTTTTATAATTTAAAGTGGTGGAGAATAAGATATATTAGTATAGATTTCTATTTAATTTTTGTAAATAGATTAGGAAGTTTTATTTTTAATTAATTTTAAGAGAAAATGAGGGTAAAGTTGGGTTTTGATTTTTAAAAAACCTATTTGACCAATCTACAAAAAAAAGGGATATATGGACAAATTTTTAAGTAGATATCCTTTATTTCCAATTTTCCCAAAGATTATATGTGAGTGAATATATATCATGAGATTCCTTTTGAGAGAAAAAAGGAATTATGACAATTACTTGTTTTCCTTATTAGATAACTAAAATTGATTATATAAATGAAAATCTCTATAGTACTCGTGAATTGACAGTCGACAAAAAAAAAAAAAAAAAGCAAAACTCACAAAAATACTTGAAAATGTGCTTATTGACCCCCAGTGGCGGACCCACGTGAAAAGGAGGTGGGTCAGCTGACACACCTTAAAAATTATATATTAGATAGTTTCCTCAATATAAGGTGTAAGCAATTGGCTCATTTGGTAGAGATCTCTAAAATTGACCCCCCTAATATGAGTTCGATGACTCAAAATGACACTAATTTTTTGTTTTTATTACCCTTTTCTCTTGGGCCATAGCCCAAATATTTAAAAAATGTCTCAAAACCAATTAAACTTGTATTTGGAAATTTTGTTTGATATGTTGTATAAGAGATTAGAAGACTGAGTATATATATAAATATATTATTTGTATAATATAATTTTTTGACCCCGGTAAAAAAAATTTCTGGGTCCGCCACTGTTGACCCCCACAAAAATTTGTTTCGAAATAGATTTTAGTCATTAGATAAAAATTGACCTCTATAACCGTAATGGCTAGCTCCGCCACTGCCAAGTACTACTTTGATGCAAGATAAAATATATATATATATATATATATATATATATTACCTTCTTACGATAATTTAAAAGAAACCCTATAATCTGTTTTTTTTTGGTAAAGATATTAAGATAAATTATAACTATGTTGGACATTAAACGATACCAAAAAATAAACTATGTTGACTTTTGAGCAGCATTCACTTGCACAAGAGGCAACAAACAGAGGATAAAACACGCTCGGCAATGCTGGATCTTGATTTTCTTGATTGCCCTATTTGCATCGAGCCGTTCACTGTTCCTATCTTCCAAGTATGTTTCAAATTGTTTGATTCATATATAATTGTTTCGGTAAAACTTAGCATTAAGAAGATGATATTTGGAATTTTGGTCATTTAGTAACCAATCGTAGGTGTAAATTGTTTGTTAGCTAGGTTTCTTTTCTTGAATAAAGCTTTGATTGTAATTCATTGGTTTTGCTTTTCAGTGTGATAATGGACATTTAGCTTGCGCTTCTTGCTGTCCCGAACTGAGTAATAAGTGCCCTACATGTACTTTGCCTGTTGGTCACAGTCGCAACAAAGCAATGGAGAGTGTTCTTGAATCGATCTTTATCCCATGCCCGAACGCCAAGTTAGGTTGCACCACGAATGTCTCTTATGGGAAACAATCAATACATGAGAAGGAATGTAGCTTCTCTCTCCTCTGCTCATGCCCTCTACAAGACTGCAATTACACTAGCTCATACTCTAACATGTACCGTCACTTTATTGGTGGCCACCAGAACAAATATATGTTGTTCTGTTGTGACACTTTCGCTAATGTTCGGATGAATATCAGCTGTAAGATATTGATTAGAGTTGAATATGAGATAAGCCTAGTGTTTGCAGTGCAATGTTTTAGGGAGCCGTGTGGTGTGTATGTAACTGTAAGCTGCATTGCACCGTCTTCTCGAGAAGTAGGAGAATTCTCATACCATCTCTCCTACACTGTGGATGGGCACACTATGACTTACGAATCACCGAAAGTGAAGAAAGTTCTTAAAGTTAGCTACCAAATACCTGAAGAGAGTTTCATGTTGATCCCTCACAGTTTATTGCGTGGTGAAATTTTGGATATGAAGCTTTGCATCAAGAAATTGAAGCAAGAGTAAGAAAAAGCTGCTTATTTATTCTGAAATAACATAGTCCTTGTTTTTGCCTAATAATTAACATAGTCCTTGACTTGCAAACTTTGGTTGAGACTAGTCTCTCAATCTCATTATAAATAATGAAAGAGATAGTGAGGTTGTATTGCAAGATGTATATAGTGTGTGATGTTGAATTTTGTTTTTAAAGAGTTATCAATTAATGAGAATCCAAAACAAATGTGTAGATTACTAATCAAAACCAAATATTCATATAAAAAATTAACATAAAACCAAATATTCATATAATATCTAAAAAATTAACATATAAAAATTAAATTATGGGCTGGACGTTCACAAGACTGGACTGCTCCACAACTGTCTCTTTCACGGCGAATAGAGCTTTTGTGGCCTCAGCTCTTGTGGCGGAAGCACTCGCTTTGTGAAGTGCACTTACAATGGCAGCCGCGCAACCAAATATCGCCTTTCTCACTATTATGTTGGACTCTCAGGTCCTAATCTTACTCATCACCTCGAAGGAAAGTACAATGGAGCTTAAATGGATCGTCCACGATATTACTCTGCCTAGCCTTACCTTCACTTCTATCTCTTTTGTGTTTATTCCAAGAACGGAAAATGTTTTAGCCGATTCTCTTGCTAAATCAGCCCTTGTGGCTATGTCCAATTCCTCATCTAATGGAGTGTAAGACTCTGATTTCAATAATATTTTTGTATTTAGTTATGTACTAATAATTCACATGATCTTATTATTACATTATTTTGAAATGTCTTCGAACTAAAATAGATTTTCTTACCTTGAGTGTTCAAATATTGTTCGTTTACTTGTTAGAATAGTAAATGAAAAATAAGACTAAATCGGAATGGGGCACAATTGATGGAGAGAAAAGAAGAAGCCTATTATGAAGGGTGCGTAATAAAACAAAAAATGTTTTTATGATATGGCGATAATAACTTACACGGTGAGGGTGTAAAGGCATTTCCAATTCAGTAGACATGAGAGATTGCCATTTTCAGTAAAAATGATTTTTTTATCATGTATTCAATATATCTTTCTTTTGGTGGAATCATTACGATCTAATGATGTTACCCTTCAAATTATTAGGTAGTAGGGACTAATTGACCATGACCACAAGATCTTCTTCAATGATCATATTGCAATAGATGATTTTGGCGGTAACCAATACAAAATTCCACATTAATATTTCCGTATCAAAACATACAAGGAAATAGAAATAATGGTAGACAAAGGAGAAAACTTCTTTAATACTAAATTGAGATATCAATAAAAACAAAAAAAAACACAGAGTTACAATAATGAAAATAACAACAACGTACTGAACCAATATAAAGCAACAAAACCTATCGAACGATATGTTTCTTTGCTGTTTTGGTGGTGATTCAAGTAAGCAAGAGTGAATTTGTTGAAAGACTCTTCTCGGATCGAAGAACGCAGCAATGATAGATTGAAGAACTTGGTGCAAACAACATCTCACCGACACATTTCCTTCCTTGATAAGGTCATTGACCAACCTTTCAAGGCAAGCAACACAATACTTATACAAAGCTGACAATGAAACTAAACAAAGAATTAATCAGTTAATGGCCTCAAGTCTCAACAGCTTATAGATAAAAAAGTATTAACTTACTTCAACAAGATGATTGGAACCAACATCAGCATTAACTTTCCTATCAAATTTCAATATGATTGTTATTATTACATTATTTTGACATGCCGCTGAAACTAAAATACATTTTTCTTACCTTGAGTGTTCAAATAATGTTCAGTTACTTATTTGAGTAACAAATAAAAATAAGATTAAATATGAATGAAGCCCAATTGATAAAACTAAAAGAAAAAGCTTATATAAGGGGCAGAATACAACAAAAAAAATTAAAAATTAAAAATCAGGAACATATGTAGAAGCATTTAGAGCCTTGACTAATAAGGAGAGAAATTGATTCTTGAGTGTGCGATCAATCAAAATTTGAGGAGAATACCCTTAATTTTTATTCACAACAATATATTTAATCATTACGATTTTTTTGTCTTTGATGATATGAATGTCTACTACAAATAACAATAGACTATTTATATGTCTCATTGTTTATTTTCAACATACAGTGTGAAAGAGCGAACAAATTCATTTATTATCAAACCATGTATGATCTAAAAGAATTTTATACAAAACAAAATTATTTAATATTTACATCAATTTTTTCGCTTTTGTGAAAATTTGATAATAAATTGCATATATCACACCTCAAATATTATTTAAAACTAAAATTTGACGTGTGGTATATGCAATTTATGTCATTTTCAATATGGTTATATATTTTTCTTCCAGCTATTAAATCTAATGCAAACAGTATAATTAATGTCCAATAATCTTCCACCTTAAAATGATTATTGTGTTGTTGTTTAGGCTACTCTTCCACCATTACAGTTGTTACTTTTTCAAATAAAAAGTGTAGTTGATTTCATATTAAATTTACTTAATCATATAAAGAGAAATTACGATGAACTAATAAGAAATCTTAGTTCAAGTTCAAAATATGAAGGAGAAGCAATGACAAAAAGGGAACCGACATTTTTGAACTTTGATTATTTTAAACAAGTATATCAGTATTTCACCAAACATAACCTAAATAACTGGTTTAATAAAATAATTATGAAATGGTTTTTACCTAAACTATATCAATTTTTACTATGAATATCCTAGAATAAATTGGAAAATTCTAATTCTAAATGTGAAAATAGATACTGGAACAATTTTAATAAATTAAGGACAAAACATGTAAGAAAAATCTAAACAATAAAAAAATTATTTCTATAATTCTTTTAAAAAATTAGCAATCATATTCACCTAAATACATAACCCACACATTGCGTGGGCAACTATCTAGTATATATAATCAATGCTATTAATTTTATTTATAGTAAAATTTAGGGGGATTAGCAAAAATACCCATTTTCTCATGCCCCTTTTCAAAAATGCCCCTTTTAGATGTCCATTTTCAAAAATGCCCCTTTTTAAATCTGAAATTTTATAAAGTTTTATTAGGTTTATAAGGTACTTATGGATTGTAACTACTACTTGAAGACTCGATCCAAGTATTTATAAGGTTTTATAAGGTGTTTTTAAAGGTTTTACAAGTTATTTTAAAGGATTTTTAAGGTTTTTCAAAGGTTTTACAAGATATTTTAAAAGTTTTTAAAGGTATTTAAAATGCATTTATAAGGTATTTATAAAGTATTTATAAGATTTTAGATACATAGAAATGTAGTTTGTGTATGTTTTAATAATATTACATACATATTTGGGTAAATCTTATATTTTTAAGAGCACTTTTTATAAGGTTTTAAAAAGAGGGTATTTTTGAAAAGTGGCATTGAAAAAGTGGCATTATTAACAATTTCCCTAAAATTTATATATTTTATTAAGGATTTTCATTATGTAAATAAAGTACATGTTGTTTGTATTTGGATTTACAAAAAATTTATACCACAACTCGAAAATCAAAACGAAATATTGTGTTTAGTTTTATAATAATTTTTAAAACACAACTTGACACACCAATGACTCTCTTTAATACATAAAAAGTTTCCTACAAACAACTTTTGTTATTTCATTTTGGGATTAATAAAAAAACTTTGAGTTTCTTTTAAATTTTTCAATCTTAAGAAATACATTTAATCAGTCTAATTTTGTTAATATTTAGGTCATCTAAAAATTTATGACTCGTGAACTACCCAAAAAAAACAAAAGGCAAAAGCTTAAAAGAACTTTATCTTCATCGAGAGCATTAGAGAGAAAAAGAAACGAGAAGGTGTTGTCGCCGAGAAGAAATCTTTCTTCCTACATAATAAACCTTGGTAATCTTTCTTCTTACCTAAGAAAAACTTAAGAATAATCTTTCTTCTTAGCCAAGAACCCTAAACCTAACCCTAAAAACGAACGCTGTTTTCCTATCCGATTAATGTTTTTTTTCGAATTCAAGCAAAACCATCTCTCTTATGTTAAGTGTGTAGACTAGTAAACCGGATTCAATTCAATTTCAGCATATGGGGTGGGCCTCAAGCGTTGTAAATGGTTTGAGCAACATTCACTTGCAAAGGAAACGAACAGAGGATGAAACCCGCTCGGCAATGCTTGATCTTGATTTTCTTGATTGCCCTATTTGCGTCGAGCCATTCACTATTCCTATCTTCCAGGTACGTTTCAAATATCGTATTGTTGATTCATATATTTTTTTTTGGGTCAAACTTTGCATTAAGAAGATGATATTTGGAATTTTGGTCATTTAGAAGTCAGTCTTAGGTGTCTTCAGAACCAGATTATATTTTAGCCCACATTATTGGTTGATATTAAGTGAAGTGGAAAATCCTTTTGTTAGGTTTCGTTTCTTGAATATGGCTTTGATTGTAATTCATTGATTTTGTATTTCAGTGTGATAATGGACATTTAGCTTGCGCTTCTTGCTGTCCCAAATTGAGTAATAAGTGCCCTGCTTGTACTTTGCCTGTCGGTCACAATCGCTGCAGAGCAATGGAGAGTATTCTTGAATCAATCTCTGTCCCATGCGAAAACGCCAAGTTTGGCTGCACCAAGAAAGTCTCTTATGGGAAACAGTCAACTCATGAGAAGGAATGTACTTTCTCTCCTTGCTTTTGCCCCATACAGAACTGCAATTATAGTGGCTTGTACAAGGATGTATACTATCACTTTGCTATTCATCGCGACATAGGAAGAGTTGATTGTTGGTTTGTTCTTGGAGAATTTGTTGAATTAGACTTTGACTTCAAGGAGAGGGCAATAATGGGTATGAACGCATATAAGGAAGACCTATTGTTTACTGTGCAATGTCTTAGTGACCCAAATGGTATTACTTATGTGACTGTGAGCTGTATTGCTCCTTCTTTGCCGGAAGTTGGTGCATTCTCCTGTCATATATCAACTACTTTTCATGAACGTGCTATCGTGTATAATTCGATGAAGGTGAAGAACATTCGAAAACTGAGTTTTCAAATCCCTCAAGAGGACTTCATGTTGGTTCCTTCCTATTTCTTGTGTGGACGGCAATCGTTCAAATTGAAGATTTGTGTCAACAAGTTGAGCCAAGAGCCAAATTGACATTTACTTCGGTTTTGTTAAAATATATAAAGATATCTCAATACTGATGCAGCACATCTTATGTTGGGCGTTAGGTTTTCTCGAACACGTTTGGTTTTGGAATTTATGTGTTCGACAAGCAAGGGTTTTGTTTTAATTTGTCGTTAGTTTTCTTTGCTTTTTGAGGAGATTTCTCTACCTTTTCTGGTTAGGTTTCGAAGTCAATTATGAGTTCCTTAGTTTTATTAATCCTTCTATCCATTGTATAATTTTTTTTTTTTTTTTTGGGTATGATTGTATAAAATAATTTTGTTTAAAAGCATGTATATTAAGAAATTTGAATTTTCATTACAATAATATTTTAGTTTAAAACAGTTCAACCAATCATACCAAATAATGTAGAATAGAAATGATCACAAAAATATTAAATGCATTTAAATTTTGAATAGAAACTTGCATCATCTAATTAATAAAAAATTATCAAACATCATATAAAGTTATAAACTACATTTAACAGCTACCATTTCAAGAGAAGCCAACACCACTTGGAAGGTATATTCTTCCCTCTTCCTCCCTTAGATTCCAAACGATCGAACCCCACTCAGTGCCGTGCCCAGATTTATCAGGGCTTTAGGCAAAGTTAAAATTAGAGGCTTCCCAATAATTTTTTTTAAATAAAATAATTTTGAAACTATATAAATTATTGAAAACAAAGCAATAATCTAACTAAGACATAATTTTTCTTTCTTCGTTTTTAATAAACTCTTTCACCAAGTTCTCATAATTGCATGTTTTTTTTTCTCCAATTGGATACGATCTCAAAGATATGTTTCTAAATAAATTTATATATCATCATAATTCATAAACAAAGCTACTATGAAGATGAATTAGTATATATATATATATATATATATATATATATAATATTTAGAAGGTTCTAACTGTTTTAAAAGGAAGAAAGTGAATAAAAAAAATTAAATGAAAGAAAAGGGGAGAGGAATCGAACCTTGGTTACTCAAAAAACAAGGTTCCTCAAAACCATTATGATACACACCATTTTCAAAATTACGGAGCCCTAAAAAACCTATATATTTTCGGACCTGAGACAAATGCCTTTTTTCTTACCCATAGGCACGGGCGCACGGCCCTGACCCCACTCTGTCGGAAGGTTTCGACTCGTCAAAACCAAAAAGTATACTATCATAGTTTCCCAGAAACAGACTCTCCGTCCACTCATATACTAAAGCACCGAAGAACTCTCGGATAGACACATATTTTCTCGTCTTTATTTATTTGAACCGATTAATTTGACGTTATTGTCAATGACATATATATATAAATGTGCAAAATCATTCAGTCAAAATACAGCGGCATAGGCATGACCATGTTAATGACATATATTGATATATATATATAAAGTATAAAATACGCTGAATAAATTTTTTAGTTACAAAATAAATTTTTGTTTTCTGAATACAGCGGCACACCGCGGGATAAATAAATTTTTGTTTCTTTTTTTTTGGTAACTTGATCATTTGTGTTACAATATATTTGATTAAGAAAATTTTTTGTTTATAATCTTATGATTGATTTATTTGGTTTGTAATAAAGCTAGATTTTATTCCACGGTACACTGCGGATCGATATTTCTGTAACTAAAAATTTTAAATTTTAAGTTGTACTTATTTTGTTAATATTGTTTGTTTTGTTTAGTGTTTTTAAAATTGTATAATTGTATTTTGGTTGTTAATTCTACGATTTTACATATGGTATACCGTCCCGTATTAATATCGATCCAAATCCATGCCACCATATAACCCCGTCCCGTGAAATTAAACATCATTTTGTTATTTAACATTTTAATAATATTTTATTTAAAAGACATATAATTCGAGTTAATTTAATTTTTTTTAATAATTCCCATAATAGTTATATTTTTAATTTCAAATATTATTAATATTATAAATTTTTATTGAATTTAAGTATTATAAATACTTTAAACGTTTTATAAAGTTTAAGTATTTATGATAGTTAAGCATCTTATAAAGTTTAAATAATTATAATATTTAAAATTCTTATAAAGTTAAAATGTTGATAATATTTGAAACTTCAATAAAGTTTTAGTATTATAAATATTTTAAACGTTTTATAAAGTTTAACTTATTAAAAAGTTTAAATAATTATAATATTTAAATTTTAATAAGGTTTAAATATTTATAATATTTAAAATTCATATAAAGTATAAAATTTAAATTAATCATTTAATTTTTTTATAACTACATATACGATTGTATATAGAGAACATATAAAGTTTAAATTTTGTTAAACTTTAAATCAATCATATAAAGTATAACAAATATAGTTTATATTCGTAAATATATGAAAATATAACAAATGTTACTATATGATAATAAAATATAATAAACGCATGCATGTTCTTCCATTACATATAATATGATAATTGAATTTAACTAAAACATTTTCTTGCTCAATTCCATACATTTTAAACCACATAAAATTATAATTAATATATGATTAATTTTATAAAAAAAATCAACAGAAAAATAAGAGGATGAGTGTACCAAGATGTGCTCACTTCCATACCTTTTAAACCACACAAAGAGATTTGGGTTTTTAAGGTCTCAAGTCACAAAGGTAAGTAACATGGCAGCCAATTTTTTATCAACTTTTTTATGTTTAGAAGTGATGTTTACTATTAACAATGAAATGGATATATATAGAAAACATATACGATTAGGGTTATATGTGATTCACGATTTCACAAATCTTTGTGAGGAAGCAAGATTTCATGGATTAATTATAATTCGCTAAAATTAGAGAACTTAATAAATGATAATTAAGGGGGTGTTATTGGTTTGTGAGAAAGTAGAAATTGTTTTAGTTAGGAGACATTTCTAATTTGTTTAGTTGGATTGAAAAACAAATTTATGTAGTTCATTTTATTTAAGAAAAAAAATATTAAATGCAATAAAATCCTTAACATTAAAATAGGAAACTATTTGATTAGCAAATATTTGTTTGTTATAAATACATATACGATTGATATATTTCCAAAATCAATCATTTAATTTTGTTTGGATTTTATAAAAAAGTCTCAAATAAAGAAAGATCCGACTAACTCAACTCCAGATTTTTTTAAGGAAAGTCTCAAATAATGAAAGATCCGAATGACTCAACTCTGGGTCAAAATCCGTCTAAACAAAAACCGACCCGCAATAAATGCGCAAAAAAAAACTCATCGATAAAAAACTTTAAATGATTTATTGTTTGGTTATATTTTAGATTGTACACATACTTTTTTTTTATCGATTGAGTAATATATGCCTGTTTTAAAATTTTGAATCACATCATATGCAAAAAAAAAAAAAAAAAGTTTATTAACTATATATCTTTTATGATAATTCAAAATAATATAAATATAAGATCAAATAAAAGTGAAATGAGAATATATATTTTTATGTTTAAATTAGGTAGAGAGATTTTAAAAAATTAGCTCAAATTTGTTATATTAGCAATAAATCATCATATTTGATTTCCTAGTATATAAAAATCGTAAAGAAAATGCCATAAATAAAGATTTTAGGTGTAGTAATTAGTTGAGAAAAAAAATATTTTTTAGAGTTTATGAATTAATTTCGTTTTTGGTTTTGCCAAAAACTTAAGGAAAAATCCGATCGAAGATTTGTCAAGATCAGAAAAAAAACTAAGAAATCTTTCTTCTTACCCCGTAAACCTAAACCTAGAAAGGAGTCAAAAGGACGAAGTCGTTCGCAGCACTAACATCTCGTGTCCAAATCTAGTTTGATTAACGATTTTGCAGCAGTTTATATTTCCAGGTATATTCTAAATCACAAATTTCGATAATTAATTTTAAAGTTAATATATTTATAAATCGCTACAAATTGGTTCTAATTCAACCCAAAACCATCTCTCCTATCTAAGTGTCTAAACTAGTAAACGATATCTAAGTGTCTAAACTAGTAAACGATATCTAAGTGTCTAAACTAGTAAACGATATCTAAGTGTCTAAACTAGTAAACGATATCTAAGTGTCTAAACTAGTAAACGATATCTAAGTGTCTAAACTAGTAAATTGATTCAGTTCCATTTTCAGATTGTCGTTATGGAGTGTGCCTCAAGCGATGTCAATGGTTTGAGCAATATTCACTTGCAACGACTAGAGAATAAGACAAGCTGGGCAATGCTGGATTTGGAAGTTCTCCACTGCCCTATTTGCTTCGAGCCACTCACTATTCCAATCTTCGAGGTTTCGTTTCAAATATTGCATAATTATAGATTCATATAATTTATTTTTTATGGTCAATCTTTGCATTAATTAAGAAGATGGTTTTTGGAATTGTAGTCATTCACTAGCTAGTCTTTTCATGTGATCTTACTTTCAGCTGAATCTCTTTAAATTTCTATCATATATTTGTTCTTGAGATTGTTGCTATAGGTTTCGTTTCTTGAATAAAGCTTTGATTGTAATTTATTGGTTATGTATTTCAGTGTGGTAATGGACATTTAGCTTGCTCTTCTTGCTGTCCCAAACTTAGTAATAAGTGCCCTTCATGTGCTTTACCTATTGGCCACAATCGCTGTAGAGCAATGGAGAGTGTACTTGAGTCAGTTTTTGTCCCATGCCAAAACGCAGAGTTAGGTTGCACCAAGAATGTCTCTTATGGGAAACAATCATCCCATGACCCGGAATGCATCTTCTCTCGATGCACATGCCCCGCACAAGGATGTAACTTCACTAGCTTATACAAGGATCTCTACGGTCACTATAAGTCTTATAACCACCACCTTCAAAGCGACGAGCAAGAATACATCCGTAATAGGTTTAGTTGTGGCATTTCCTTTAGCGCCAAGATGAACATCAGCGATAAGATATTAATTAAATGTGAGTATAACAAGGGACTATTGTTTGCGGTACAGTGTTTTAAGGAGCGGGACGGTGTGTATGTAACGGTAAGCTGCATTGCACCAGCTGCTCCACAAGTAGGAGAGTTCTCATATCATTTCTTGTACAATGTGGAGGGACACACTATAACTTTCAAATCATCAAAGGTGAAGAGGATTCTTGAAGTGAGTTTTCAAACCCCTCAAGAGAATTTCTTGTTCATCCCTCAGATGTTATTGCGTGGTGAATTTTTGGATATGAATCTTTGCATCAAACATCTGGACGAAGAGTAAGAAGGTTATGGTGATATAGAAGATGGTCTTTTTATTATATTCCTATGGAACTCTCTCTATCACGTCTGTTATAGTTCCTTAGTGGCTTTTGTTTCAGTTTAGACCGGATTTCGTAAGGTCAAACTAGAGTAATGTAAGCCAAAATGCCAAATGATAATGACTAATTTGTAATTTTGGCAGTTTGGCATATATTACTTTTAATCACAATTCATTGGTTTTGTATTTCAGTGTGATAATTAATGGACATTTGGCTTGTTCTTCTTGCTGTCCCAAACTGAAAAATAAATGTCATGCCTGTGCTTTGCCTATTGGCCATAGTCGTTGCAGAGCAATGGAGAGAGTTCTTGCACTCTTTGTCCCGTGACGAAACGCAAAGTTAGGTTGCACCAAGGATGTAATTTATGGGAAAGAATCAACTCATGAGAAAGTTTGCAACTTCTCTCCATGCTCATGCCCTGTCCAAGACTGCAATTACATTGGCTCATACAAGGATCTCTATGATCGCTATCATTCATCTTCCCACCGGATTGGATATATCTCATATCAAATGTGACATTTGCTTTAGGGTATCTCATAGCGTCTATAGTTATATAGTTACAAATATAATTATTTCCACGAAAGATATTAACTTTGTTAATCCAGATATAACATGGGTAAAAACCTAGGTCTTACTTATCCATTGATATGTGGCAACCAGACTCAAATAGTTATGTGGAACACTTGGCTAAATAACTAACAAAGTTCATTTCAAAAGTTATTCAAATTTTTAGCAAACATATACGCATTTATGAAGAATTTTCGTAATTAAGAATTAATTATTTTCAATACGAATTTATTTTTCAAAACATGAAATATTGTGGAACAAATGTTATATTGTTTTGTTCTAACAAAATAAAACGAATACAACTATATGAGTGTCAACCTGCCTAGCTAAGATTCCAGAGGCAGGTTGGGAGATGCTGGATAAATGTTCCATGAGCAACCACTTAGTGGAATCTCCCTGTGGTGAACTTTTCTTCATCAAGTGGTACGTATTTTTCGAATTTCTTTAAGAGTTCAAATCAAGGTAGAGTAAGAGATATTGAGCTACTTGTTTCTCTTTCTAGGTACACACAGTGTATTCACAAAGAGGACGAAGATTGGGATTTGGAATTTATCCACAGCAGTACTAAGCGGTTCATGGTCTTTAGGCAAGATAGGATGAGCAAAGACTTTTGTTACACTGAAGACATTGGAGATCTCTGCATCTTCCTTAGCGAGAGTGAAGCCTTCTGTGTCAAGGCAAGCCTGTACCCGGGGCTCAAACCTAACTCCATCTATTACCTTGGCCCTAGACTTGGTTCCTACGATCTAGCTTCTGGTACAAACAGTCCCTTCAAGTTCGATCGCTTTGGTAAACCCTCACTGGTCGTCCCTTTCTGGATCCATTCGATCTCTTCTCTGAGTTCTAGCTAGGATCTGGGCCTGCCTTGTGCTTTTGTGGCTTTTGTTGTTCCTTTCTGGATCCTTGTACTTGTTAGGGTTAGGGTTTGGATTTGTGTGTGATTGGAGATTTGAATTTTGTAATTTATATATGAAGTTATTACATTATGTCACAAGGCCTTGAAAAATCCAGAGGTGTTTCTTAAGTTCCACAGCTGATAAATTCCTTTGATCGTTTCATTCTCAATTGACTTTCCTTACGTGAGAAGACAGTCTCTTGATAGTCTTACACAGAAAACTACACGACTTGACAAGGACAAAAGTCACAAAACAAGAAAAAAACGACCAAAAGCCATTAATCACGCAAAAGGAACAAGCTCTGTAATTTACCAACCGGAGACTAAAAGTCTCCCACATTTGTCTGTTTGTTTACACATTTAACTCAAAAGACGACTTGGCTAAAAATACCCGTGAGTCTACCTTGTACTAGCTCTCACTTATCATTAACGTTGCTATATAATAAGGTCATTACATGTAAGAGCTTCACATATCACAATAGAGGTGAGAGAGAAAGAGTGAAGATTAAAAAAAAAGAGAGAATGGGTAAGAACAACACCAGATTCCTCATGCAATTTGCAGTTCTTGCAATAGTTTTATACGCTGCAATAATGGTGAAAGAAGCTACAAGCATTCCCGTTTGCAACATCGACACAAACGACTTGGAGAAATGCCGTCTAGCCCTCACTGGAAACAACCCTCCACATCCGAGACCGGACTGCTGCGCAGTGGCCAGAGCTGCTAATCTACAATGCCTCTGCCCGTACAAGTCTTATCTCTCCACTTTTGGGATAAACCCATCTAGAGTCAGGCCTCTTCTTGCCAATTGTGGTCTAAAGAGTCCTTCCTGTTTCTAAGGTAAAAAAAAAAATCAAAGTAACCTCAGGATTTGCTCACTTCTTTCTGTAAAGAGAGAAAATCTTACGTTTCTTTTGTTGTTCCTGTTGTAACACGCAGCTTGAAGAACTGAGCTGAAGACAAGCCGGTCTGCCGCAGACTTTGTCTTGCCCTCAAGTCTCTAAGCTATAATATGTCTTGTGCTGTTCTAATTCGAATAAATATCAACTTTGCAATGCTTTTTCAGTCACCTTATCTATTATATAGATGAACCATGTTCTACATATTAATGAAATGAATAAAGTACTGGTTTTACGCCTAAATCCATTGTTTACTACTCCCTTCCTTGATTATCTAGAAAACTGTCCCCTTTTGCCTCTTCCCTGCAAAGAACCCATATCATAATATTAAGAAATGTAACATACTTCAATATTTTCATTAGAAAAGAGCAATACATAACATTACTAGGCATTTGTAGTAGACAATATTTGAAAAGGGACTGGTTCACAATATGATAGCATCTTAACTCTTAACATTACTTTTAAAATCTAAAGTTGTCTTAATCATTACTACTAGGAATTTACTAGCAATTAATGTCGAAATGTACTCTGTTTTTTTTTTTTTTATCAATATAAATACAAAATCATAAACAATTAATCTTCTTACATTAATAGTTAGGGACCATAACAAGTCTCCCACATTTGTCTCTTTGCAACTTGCAGACATTTCAACTCAAAAGACGACTTGACTTGACTTATGGTCCATATCATACTTATGGTTGAACAACAAAAAAAAAAAAGACGACTTGATTAGAAAGACTAGAGAGTCTGTAACCCATACAATACGCTCAATCTAACTTTCACTTAGCACTAACTTATATATAAGTCCATTGTCGGTAAAAGAGTATTTTTAACAATTCGCAAAATATTTTTTTCGATTTGAACAAATTTGTAGGGTTAATTCATACTTAAACTCCAAAATATTTTGAATTTCATATACAAACTTTATATTTAGTGTTTAATTTAATTTGGAGTCGTAATTAACGGTTGTTAATCAACCATTACGGTTGCTGAGTCAAATGACACGTGTTTGATGTTAAGTCGTGTTTGAGACTTTGAGTTAGAGTTTTATAAAATTTTACAAAAGTCGGGTTTCAAGCCTACGACGTTTCACTTATTTACGCAGCCCATTACTATTTGATCGACAACTATTGTGAAACACCGTGGATTCGAGACTTGATTATTGGTAAATTTTGATAAAACTTCAACTCCAATGCTTAAAAACGACGTCTTTTTAAACCACGTCATCAAATACGTGTCATCTAATTCAGAAACTGTAACGGTTGACCAACATCTATTAACTATAGTTTTGAATTAGTCACTAAATATAAAGTTTAGGTATTAAATTCAAAACATTTTGGGTTTTTTTCTATGAATTAATCCTACGTATTTTTTCAGATAAAAAAAAAACACACTTTAAAAATTGTACGGATATGAAAATATCTTTTTTCCTATCATTGTCATAAAGAAACATATATAACCATGTTTTTTTTTCTGAGTTGGGTATTGCCGTATTGACATTGTCATAAAGTACCCCATCCTCTTTCGCTCTTTATAGGTTCCTTCGAATCCAAAATAAGTATTGTAGTCTATAACCTTTACACTTTTCAACTGATCGCAATTAAGAGTTAAACTGTCGATTCTTGAAAGAAAATTGATGCTGGTAGGAAGTTAATTTGCGAAACTCTTAAAGATACGGTTAGATACCCTTGCAACTATTCTAAAATTGAAACCTTTGGTTTAAATGGTGAATTAAAAAAAAAATCAGCTATATTCAGTCAAATTCAACATTTATGCAATTATCATTTTACAAAACTAAATTCAGCTAGCTAGATTTAATATATCAATTTTTTTAACACCAGCTAATACATATGTATATTCATTTTGGATAAAAACTGGATCACAATGAATATGCAAATCAAGTAAAATTATTATTGAAATTTTATGAGAAATATTCCTTTTACAATACCTATTTCAAAAGCCCTTATATGTTATCAATTTTCAATTATACCCTTTTTCAAAAATGATCTTGACGTCTATGACGACTTACGGTACTTAGAAGCTCCAAATCATCTTTAAAAAAACCTTTTAAAAGCATATAAAATTTTTATAAAACTTTATAAAAAATGTATAACTAAAAGAGTACCGTAAAAAGAGTATTTTTGAAAATTTCCCAAAATTATTTAAGATATCGAAATTACACCTAGAACATATCTTATTATATAGGACATATAATACAAATACACATTATGCACAGTTTAGATATATAAAATCACTATCTGAATATGATTTGTATTCGATTATTTTGGATAATAACGGATAATTTTTAAAAACTTTAGGTTGAAAAATTATGGATAATTTTATTCACGTTTTGATTATTTTAAATAAATTTTAAACTTTCGCAAAACAATTCAGAACTATATATTATTCAAATTTTCAATAATGTTCATTCTCATCAATAATGTGGTAAATCGTATATTATAGCGTCTATAGTTATATAATTACAAATAAAATTATTTCCACAAAAAATATTAACTTTGTTAATCGTCCAGACATAACATGGGTAAAAACCTAGGTCTTAATTATCCATTGATATGTGGCAACCAGACTCAAATTGGCTAAATAATTAACAAAGTTCACTTCAAAAGTTATTCAACTTTTCGCAAACATACGCATTTATGATGATATTTTCGTAATTAAGAATTAATTATTTTCATGAATAATACGAATTTATTTTTCAAATCATGAAATATTGTGGAACAATTGTTATATTGTTTTGTTCTAACAAAATAAAACGAATACAGCTATATGATGAGTGTCAATACCAATCTAATGATTATTAATTATAAAAATTATAGTGCTTGTCCCTTTTAGTGTTACTACTTAAGACATTTTCAATTGTTATACCCTCAAATTTTCCTTCAAAGTGAAGTAACACTAAAAGTTTAAATTTTTCCAATGGTCTCTTTAATTGTTTTCTTCAAAAATGAATAGTTCAAATATATTCTTATACACTATATATAAGTAATTTTTAAAAACACTTTTTTTTTGAAGAAAAACATATTAAAAAGTAAAAGAACTTATTTTTTAGTGGTATATTATCTTAAGAGAAAAAAGGTTTTATGAATTGTCTTCTTTCATGATATAGTATCAGTGGATAAATATTTCTCTTATTTCTTTATGTTTTTCTTCAAAATGAAAGAGTACTGGAGATAATCTTAGTGGTTCCTATAATAATTTTCCAGATTTTGTGTTATCCTGATTATTCTACCTTTTTATTTTATTGAATTTTGTAAGAGATTTATTGAATTGAATTTTGTTTAGGAACTTATATTCTCCCAGATTAACACGTACATATATTCTCATATCAAACGCAGGATATTATCTGGTGTGTTTTGTGGATACAGAAATAATTTATCTGAAGAACTATTATTGTTAGTTTGTTACATGAGTGAACACGTAGCAAATCAATGTAAGAACGTGGCAAATCAGTATAATTAATCTGAAGAACAATTGTTACGTAATGGACACGTGGCAAATCAGTGTAAGAATGTAAAAGACATTTACTTGTTAATTTTTTTTTTTTTTTTTTTGGTAAAAGGTTAAATATTTACTTGTTAATTTATCTTTCTTCGTCCATCAAACTCTTCGAATTTCACCCAAGTTATAATGTTTGCATGCAGCTTTTACTTCCAAGTCTTTGGAGCCTGAGAAGTGAGTAGACAAATTGATTTTAGGGTAAAACTAATCTATACTCCTTTCTTTTCATCTTTCTCAGAAAAAAAAAGTTTCATTTCTCCTATTCATATATGTACGTAATAACGTAAACGTAAAGTTAAAACTGTTTCAGTTCCATTTTCATCTTAAGTAAAGCATTTCGATATGGAGGGTGCCTCAAGCGGTGTTAATGGTTCGAGCAACACTAACTTGCAAAAGAAGCAACGAACAGAGGATAAAACACGTCCGGCGATGTTGGATTTTGATGTTCTCGACTGTCCTATTTGCTTCGAGCCACTCACTATTCCTATCTTCCAGGTTAATTTCGAGTTTCGACTGTCGAAAATGTTAAGGCCGAGACTTTATTTAGCATATTGGCTTTGTTTTATGTCATAACTGATTTTCAGTTCAATCTTTTTTTCTCCATTCATATTTCTAGATCAAGTCGCTATAGGTTTGCTGAATATTGATTTGGTTGTTATTTCATTGGTTTTGCTTTTCAGTGTGATAATGGGCATTTGGCTTGCTCTTCTTGCTGTCCCAAACTGAGTAATAAGTGCCCTACATGTACTTTGCATGTTGGCAACAAACGTTGCAGAGCAATGGAGAGTGTTCTTGAATCAATCTTTATCCCATGCCCAAACGCCAACTTTGGATGCACCAAAAGTATATCTTATGGGAAAGAATCAACTCATGAAAAGGAATGCATCTTCTCTCAATGCTACTGCCCTGTGGCTGCATTGAATTGCAATTACACTAGCTCATACAAGGATCTCTACACTCACTATCGTACTACCCACATGGATGTATGCCAGCGTAATAAGTCCATTTGTGACATTCCCTTTAGTGTCCGGATGAACATCAGCAACGATAAGGAGATATTTGTTAGAATGGAATACCCGAAGAGACTCTTGTTTGTAGTGCAGTGTTTTAGGGAGCCGTGTGGTGTGTATGTAACCGTAAGCTGCATTGCACCATCTGCTCCAGAAGTAGGACAGTTCTCATATCATCTCTCCTACACTGTGGATGGACACACTATAACTTATGAATCACCGGAGGTGAAGAGAATTCTTAAAGTGAGCTCCCAAAGACCTCAAGAGAATTTCATGTTGATCCCTCACAGTTTAGTACGTGGTGATTGGTTGGATATGAAACTTTGCATCAAGAAGTTGAAGCAAGTACTCAAGTAAAATATTTTTTGGTTTGAGATTAAAAGACGTACTGTGACGTCGGTTCTGGTTGTTTTTGTTTTTTGTTGCCCCTCCAATGTAAAAATTGTATATTATGGTTAGAAGCAAAACTACTATTTATAACAAATGAAGGTAGAGTAATAGAGTTTAAAGTAGCATAAGAAACTTATAAGATATGGTGTATAATGTTTAATTAAAATATTGAGTGCTTTATGGAGGAGGTATGATAAGGGAGGGTCAAAGTAATTCTGAAACTTATAATATTGAACTGAAACTAATAGTAAACTGAACTAATATTAAAATTCTAGAAATGGATTTGAAGAGAAATAATAAAATAAGGGTTCATGTTTT